GCGTGTAACTAATTATTTTCATTTGTATATTCCATGTTCGTTGCTTTCCAAGCGTGAATATTCATCGAATTCGAACTTATATGTTAATTCTCTAAATTTTCTGGAGTGAATTTCACTCCAAAAGATTGAAAATATTGCCACTCGCGGCTACTTGAGTTGACCTGATTTAAAGCCAATCTTGCATCTTTCTCCCGCGATATGTTAGCTCGGACAGCTAACACACTCATAAATATGTGTACTCTCAAGAAAGCGCGCTATACGACGAGTGGCCTACATACAGGCGCCCGCCGTACTAATGGCGCGTGTGCACTTGTGCGGCGCGGCAGCGTCTCTACAATTAGTATTAATTATATTGCATAGAAAGCCGCTGTGATTGGCTGAAGAATAGCAAGGCAGAATAGGTAAAAATTTTAACTTTATTTTATATATATATATATATATATATATATATATAATAAAGTAAAAAGTTAAAATTTTAGCCTGAAAACAATCGTAATATCGGCGCACTTTTTATGGAATTTATCTATCGCCAGTCCAAAGAGAAGCATGAGACCGGTTATCCCTTTTACGTGGGACCGCGTCACAATTCTACAGAATAGCGTCATTATATCCATTTCTTAAACGGGTATAATATACGGTATATAATATAATTATATATATGTGTATAAAATAGAAAAAAACGTGTCGTCTAAGCGTAAATGTAAGAGTTTTAAGATATATGAACCATATATACTTCTCTACAAGGCCTTTGTATACATACGTAATAAATTAAAATTATTAAACAGTAGCTCCTTCCTTAACCTCAAAGTGCCGCTGTTTATTCAAAACACAAACACATACCTTGCTCTCTGCTTTTACTTGGGGTGGGACTGGGACCGTCAACCCCTGTACACTAGCGTCATTACATCCATTTTTGAAATGGGTACTACGTAGCTCTACATCCATTTACAGACATTGTCGATAAATGGATGTAGAGCTACGTAGTACCCATTTTCATAACGTCGAAAATATAATACATAAATAATAAATAATAAATATAATTATAAATAATAAATAATAAAATGTGTATTATATTTTCGACGTTATGATTTTACCGACAATGTCTGTAAATGGATGTAGAGCTACGTAGTACCCATTTCAAAAATGGATGTAATGACGCTAGTGTACAGGGGTTGACGGTCCGAGTCCCACCCCAAGTAAAAGCAGAGAGCAAGGTATGTGTTTGTGTTTTGAATAAACAGCGGCACTTTGAGGTTAAGGAAGGAGCTACTGTTTAATAATTTTAATTTATTACGTATGTATACAAAGGCATTGTAGAGAAGTATATCTGGTTCATATATCTTAAAACTCTTTCATTTACGCTTGGACGACACGTTTTTTTCTATTTTGAACACACACACGCACGATATTGTTTTTAACTAAAAAAATTGATGTTTATCACTTCTTCATTAATCTCCTCTCTCAATTTCTCACCTCTGATGTACTCTTTTTTTATTTATGAAATTTTTAAATTTTATATATATTTCTTTTCTTATCGGGGGGGAAAAAAAACAGGCTGAACAGGGAGCACAAGTCTCGCGGCGTGCTATGCTGATCGGTTACCTCTGTTCTTGCTCCTGCGATGGAAGATGCAGGCACCACAGTTTTCTACGACGACGAGGAGGACGAGTGTCTGGACTACGAGTGCTCGCGCAGCAATGTCGAGTACGATTACGATTACGCGGACACGGAGAAGGAGACCCTTCACGAATTATATCAGTATTGTCTCGTTCCTAGTCTGTACGATACCGGACGTTACGTACTGCCTCTGCTGGGTAGTACGATTTTATTTAGACTGTTTGTTCACACTGGTAAGATTTCTTTTCACTATTTACATTCACCTCGTTGATATGAATTATATTGTATTTCTTTTCTCTCGCAGACGGTATCTGTGGTACAAATTGGTAAATAATCTCTTTGTTGGTTTTCTTACATTTCAGAATACATATCACACAAAGTATTTCATACATTATCAGTCATCATAGGCTTATATATTATCCAACACTACGTGCAGGAATCCTTAATAATATTGATAGTATTTGTTCTATTTTCCTATGGTGTTTTACATGTGCCAAAGAGATGGCACAGAGGCACAGGGGTCTTTTTACCATCCCTTTTGATAATTGCGTACTGGTATGTTTCAAATTCAATATACACAGGTATCGTAGATCAATTTGTATTTCTACTTCCATGGATAAGGAATATCTCTATTTATTTACAGTGAGTTATCGATGCAGCCAGTGATATGGCATAGGATACGCAGTGTGGTCATGACCATGGTGATGAAAGCAATTAGCGTCGCCATTGACACGAGTAACTCGAATGACCTGCCAGACGTTTACAGTTTCATGGGCTACATGTTCTGCGGTGTGACTTGTTTATTTGGACCATGGGTGTCGTTTAGAGATTACTTGTCGCTGCGTTACTCGAGTAATCAGGTATTATTTCATAAATAAGCGTATCTCTATTTTTATCGCTATTTTTATCACTAAACTATAAAAAATTAAGAAGAGTTTTCTTTTCTAAAATAGTTTAAAATAGACACGATAACGTTTAATAATAAAATTCTGTTGCAGAATTGGAAATGGTGGATATTAAGTAGCATAGGATTTGCCTTCCTTTCCTTCGTTTTCCTCAGCATTTCAAATTGCTGGACGCAGTGGATATTTGTAGATAACTCTTGGAAGTTAGTATGCGCGAGTTAAAAGTTTTAGATTAATATTTGATGGTTTCATATAAAAAAAAATGTTCTTTTTACATTTTAGGTGGCTAATTGCGTACAGAGACGCATTGTCCTTCAGAATGTCTCACTACTTCGTTTCGTACTTAGCTTCGGCACTGCTAGTTCTGGGAGGATTTCCCCTTTCGTCGTCGACGATAGTCAAGCCCTTGTACATCGAGTTCCCGCGCTCGCTTGTCCAGGTTGTCATCTATTGGAACATTCCAATGCATTACTGGTTGAAAACATGTACGTATATATACAATATTAATTAATTCGAAACAGAGAGAATTTATGTAATTTGACAAAAAAATCTTGCGATGGAACATCGAAGGATAAATATCAAACTAATCTCTGTATCATTTTTTACAGACATCTTCCGTCCTAGCATTAAAAACTTGGGAAAGTTCGGCGCGGTGATCGTCACGTATCTGATAAGCTCTCTTTTGCACGGATTGAACTTCCAGTTGGCAGCTGTGTTACTTAGTCTAGGATTTTATACGTACGTGGAGTTTCAGCTCAGGGCCACGCTCGCCGATACCTTCGACGCCTGCGTCGCGTCCAAGCAGTGCAACAAGAAAAGATGCACGCACAGATATAACTCTTATAACTTTTTGGTATTCACGACGAACTTGCTGTTCTCCGGACTGGCGGTGTTTCATTTAGCTTACTTAGGTCTCATGTTCGACACGTCGGAACTCCAAGAAACAGGGTATAGCTTTAGGCACACTATCGACAAGTGGGCTGAACTCGGATTTGCTAGTCATTGGGTAGCATTAGCTACGTACGGCATTTATCTTTTAACTAAGTAGCGAAATTATCTTTTTTGAATTTTTTTAATTTTCCTGCGAAAAACTCGTGTTCAATTATCCTTTTTTCATAAAAATAAATTAGCTTATGTAAATATGATAAGCAGCTCGATTTTATAAATAACTTTCCTTGGCACAGTTGAAGAAGTAACATTAGGATATAATTTTATGTGTAATCTCCAATATTCAAAAAAGGTAAATAAAATACATATTCTTTATTGAGTATATAACACAATATAAAGTTCACTGTGTGTGATCTATATATATACTTTATAATTTTTGTTTTTATAATTATATATGTAGCACATTTAGTAGTTTGTAATTATAAAAAAAGTTTACAAAGAGTATTTTAAGTATACAATGTTAAATAATACTCTTTCGATATCTCGCATCCTAAATCTAATATTACATTAAATGTCACTTTTGTAATGAATAGAAACATCTTTGCTCTAAGAGATACTTTTTTTTCCCCCCTTACTAATCCACTGATCGGTAATGTTGCATTTGTAACATTACTATGCAACATATTGGACATTATAAATTAGCTACTGTATAATTTTTATGTACACTTTCAGATTGACTTTGATGATAATGATTATAGGTATTCTTGAAGAAATAATGGTCACGTTGCATGTAACATTACAACTAAGCACATTACACAATGAACAAATGCTATACATAATTCACAATTCTTAAAATGTTCAAATTTCGCAGACCTACTATCGTTTTAATAATTTATACAGTGCATTTATTCGAAAATAAATAATTGCTCTCTACAAATTTTTGGGAACCTAATGGCAAATAGATTTTATTTTCCTAAACATCACATTTCAATAACATGTGTTCTTAAATACTATAATTAGCAAAAAAGCTATGACTTCTATATTCATTGTATAAATGAATATACAGCTAATATATATAATATATAATATATATATATATATATATTTATTTTATATATATATATATATATATATATATATATATAAATCTAATGTATAAACTACATACATATGTGTAAAAGCATTTGTATGTGTATTTTTAGTCGAGAAGCCTGCACTAAAAACTACTATTGACATGTCTATATTTTTAGTTCTATATATCAACTTCATAAAAAATAATAAATTTTTATTATAATTATCTTAGATATAGCGTGACAACGTCTATAAACAACAATTATAATTACTCTTACGACTGCCGTCTATATATTACATCTATTATTGATCTTCAAAATTGACAATTCCTTTTTGCTGCCTAGGACAGAATCTGGCGATGAAACTTAAATTTTTGTTATATTTTAAAACAGATTTTTATTTTTTGATTTTTAATTGGCGTGAAAAGAACTTTCATTGATCATCTAAGATAGTTAGGAATAGAAAGTTAAAAAAAATTAATAGCTTCGATTATTTATTCTTATTGCAAACACGAAAGCTAGAAGGCAAAGTTCAAGCTATCAGACCTTCTATAGATCTTCTAGACCTTCTATATCATTATAGTTTTAATAAATTGTTGCAAACATCTCTGTACATTTAATAAGTGATTGATATATGATCCGTTAAATCAATATATTTATATGCCAAGGTATAATATGTGAGAAACTAACGTATTAGCATTGCGCAACAAGATCGTGAAACAAGTTATAATTGTTAAAGAAATTTTATTTTAATGCATAACATAATTACAAATCACATCAAGGTATGACATAAAAAAAGGCACACGAAAATAAAATCTAAATTTTGTAATCTATTAATTAATTAATGCAAAGGTAATAAAACTCTATGCCTAATAGCATTCCACTACATAAATTTTATTTTCATGTAATCACTTATATCTTGTCATGTATACCTTGACGTAATATTCATTAAAATAAAAATATTTATTTAGCAATTATAAGTACAGTTTTATTATAACCATCTTACTGTATGTAAAAATTTTTTTTTCTTTTCATTATCAATAAAAATACTGCATTGCAAAAGTGGCACGCTTTTTCAAGCGTTACACGTTTCGCTACATGTGGTAAAGTGCAATTTTCGAAACTATTAAAGTAACTTAATATGTACAGAAAAGGTACTCGTAAGAGTAACAGCCTAATTTTAATCTTGTACTTAAAGGTATTCCAAATATTTCATGATCAAAACTTATATTTTTATATACAATTTACACAATGTTATACATCAGGACATCCAATATCACGTCATCTTATCTTCAGGCCAATTTGAATCATATGATGAAATATTATCGAAAATATTATTTGATCTTTTTTTATGTAAAATGTTATTAAAATTTTATTTTCTTATCTTTTCAAAGCACAAAAAGTCTGTGTATATCATAATAATAATTATAATTTCATCACACTTTTTGATATGTTTTGCGTTGAAGTAACCGCGTTAAAATATCTATATAAATTACGTAACTAAATTGTTTTCACGATATGTTTACAAAAAGACCTGAAGATAAATAATATTCCTTATACATTAAAATTCTGCTTTTCATAAAATGTTGCTAAACTTGTTATCAATGTATATATAATTGGTACAAAAAAAGGAAAAGTAATACAAAGTCACATTGCATATATGTTGGTAAAAAATCTACATTTAATTTGTTTCAATTAAATACGAGATGTATGGTATAAAATTAATATATTCAGGTTTTAACAGATCTATAATTTAATGCATTTAGCGGGAGGTAATTAACATCGCTGGCAAATTAAGTTGCATTAATAATCATATATAAACCGCACATATAATATATACACCGGTATTGCAAGACTTCATCTAATGCGTTTGTCCAAATTCAAAGCAACACAAGTAAATTTTCAACAAGTGCCATAATTACAGTGTTCCGAGCTCTTTAACATTTGCATTATAAACCGACCGAGTTACAGAACAATAATGCTTTTCTAACATTATCTACATCACGATAATGCTAAATAAATTTTATTTTTTGCTAACTATCCAATTCCGGTCCACAATAATTTTTTCATAACAATAAAAATTTGTATATATAATATAGGTATATATAAAAACTTTAATATTTTGATGCGACAAAAAGTGCAATAAATTTCAATTTTGAGGTTATATGCGAGGAATTTATATCGTTACACTCCTTCTTAAAGGTAATCGTATATAAATATTATATAATATATTATCATCATAATATATTATAACATTATATTATAATTAATATTGTAATTAACATTATTACATAATATATTAATTTTAATCATATTAAAATATTAAAGATATTAAGCGTTTTTTACAATCTTAAAATTTTGACAAAATAAAATAAAATGAAGGAGTGTATTTTTAGATTGCGTCATCGTAAAACACATGTTCAACTAAATGTCGCAAAAGGAATACGTTAGCATTAAATTAACATTTGGCAAAAATTGAAAAAATTATTGAAAACAGAAATTATATGTGTAAATCGAAATAATTTGGAAAATATATATATCTACAAGTGTGCTTATTCTGACCAGCAGAAAGATGATATTAGAGTGGAAAGATGATATTAACAGAAATCTGATTCTCCTTTTTTCTTTTTGCATCGCAATACTCTGATATATGGAAGAACAATTAAAAGCTGTGTAAGCTATATATTAAATATCACTGCAACAAATTCATGTCCCATGATGCAGATATGGCAAAACCATATTAATTAATAATGCAGTGTTGATGATTTTTGTAGAGATATACCTAATTTGATCTTCGTTGATTTATGATATAAAAGCCTGGGCAAAACTTGCTCGAGTTGAAGGATTGAAGATCAGAGTGAGGTGCTTTTTACTGAATGATGGGGTTTAAGCGATGAGATCTTCGGCGCTGGTGAGATGCTCCAGTTACCTGACAGTCCTCCCCAACGCCACTGGGAATATCGGTTAGTCATCTGATAAATGCACTTTTATAACTTTTTGTTGTGCGCGCACTGCAAGTCACAGAAATAAATGGGGTCGGTTCGTTAGCCACCTCTGGTGCTATTTGTTTTATTGCATAAGCACTAAATGTAACATTATTACGAGAGAGAGGCCTGGACTATATATATAGTATAAACTCCTGTATGACACATCTCTGTTCAACTGTTATTTGCCCAGGCCTATATAAGGTTTGTAGTATGTAACACAACACATGCTAACGAAAAAAAAAAAACGAAATCTAGAAATCATGCCACATGCATTATGGATCAATTAATCAAAAAATTAATTTTGAAAGACAGGACGATTGTACAATTGTAACAATTTGGATTATTTCAAATTACTTTCTTCTTTAAAAGTTATTAAAAAAAATAAAATATCCATTTAGAATAAAGCTTATATACAAATAAGATATAAACATAGAATCTTTGTAAATTCACATAAAGAAATGTTATAAAATATTTTAAAGATACACATACATTTGGCTGTTAACAGATGCAAATCTATCTAAAGCCTCATAAAATTTGATTTCTGTACACTTATGGTAACAAGTGGTGAGAAATATAAAAGAAATGAAAATATAAAAGTGGATAGTCGTGTATGGAAAATGTTGCACAATGACAACGAAGCAAAGCTTAAAGTATCAGAAGCAACGGGAATCGGCGGAGCGGAAGAGAGGGAATACTGTATAAGAATTTTTTTCCGCTTATAACGTCAAACAAGCAAGGACGAGAGAACTGCACAATCGTAAATTTAGGCCCAAATTCGAGAAAACAGGGACAGTTATTGACTTACTGCCTGAGCGAATAGCGAGTAACTCGGTCTGCCGACCTGAGGATCATATTCATGCGTTGCTGCGGTTGCGGTACTGAATGATTGGCAGACGAGTTTGTAGCGTGGGCCTGTGCAGCCATGCAGGAGGTACGTTTCGCCCTTCTCACTGGTTTTGATACGGTTAAAGATGTAACGGGATTGGTGGTGGTTGTATTGTTGTTGATGTTATGGCTCTGTGTCGCCGGTTTAGACCTAATACGGCAGGAAGATGGATCACAGCTACTGTTGACCAACCAACTGTTTCTACAATTTCCAGTCAAGATAAAGAGACCCATTTCTTTCGGAAATTCATGCAATATAATTTATAGGTATTTCCTTCGTAGATTACATTATATAACGTATTGTAAAATGTAAAATATATAAATGATACATATAAATATACATAAAAAATATATAAATATAGAATAGAATGCAATATAATTTATAATAATATAATTCGTTTTTTGGATCTTATAGTAAAAGCACGTGTTAGTGGATGTGCAAGCGCAACTTAAAAGGGAAACGGGCGAATGAGAATATAACTAGTATCATGGAAAAAAGAAGAGAAATAAAACATGGAAAGATACTTTGAAGAAAAATAATAGACAAAGTAATGTGTAGGAAGAGAAATAGATAAATAAATAATTGTTTAACCTTTTCACGACTGTCGTGGTGGTGGATCGTGATAACAGCCTTTTGGTGGGATCTCTTTCTTTATTTCCCACTAGAGTAGTAATGGCTCCCTTTTGACTTCTGGTTTGTAACAAAGGCCCCAAATACGGGCTGTAATATGACACGCGCGTTAATCCCATGTTAATTTCAAAATGTACCAAAAAAAAAACCTACAATATACTCTGCACTTACTGCACGACGGTAGATGTCCCTGTGCTTGCATTAAGAGAAGTCTGAGCTGTCGTTATGCCTCTTCTTCTGGCTTTGATTCTGCACAACTTGTCACCTTGCGTCAACGTGCTATACCTAGCCGTGGCGCTAGCCCCAGCCACTGGTCCAGGATCGTCCAATTTTATTTCGTCCACCCGATGCATTATCCCCGATACATTATCCTCCATCATGTTCTTCACGTCCCCTTGGAAAGAAGCCGCTCTAGGTCTACCAACTATCGAGTATATCCCATATTCGTGGACTGGATTTCCATTTTCAGGTTGCAACGGCTCTTTCAGCAACGATCGGAGATACACTTCTTTTCTAAGGGACACAGAGATTCGCCAGATTATTATTATTTTTTTAATTACAATATATGTATTAGAGCTGGTGATTTGCTTCGAAGGTTTCGACATTAGAACTTCGAAGCTTCGGTATTAAAATCTTCGAATTCTTTCGAAGTTTCGAAATATACACTCGTGCAAACGAATTTATTCAGAAAATTATTTACAAATATTATAAATAAAAAGAATTAATATATGTATATGCTCAAAATATGTATAATACGTACAAAATAAGTATATATACGTAATTATTCTTAAAAAATTTGAAAGTTTTATAATACTTGAAATATTACAAATTAACAATTAAACTTGATACATAAATAAGGAAAGATATATTTAATCAATAAAACAAATTAAGAAAATTCAAAAAATAAAAATAAATTCATTCTTAAATAAATGAACAAAAAAATAATAAATTAATATAATTTTATATAGTAAATTAATATAGTTTTGGCGTCATTATAAATCTTCCTCAGCATAAAAAGATCGTCAAAACAGAAAATTTAAAATCGTAAAATTAATAAAAATTATTAATTTTTTAACTAAATTTGCACGAATGTATTTTTCGAAACTTCGAAGCTTCGAACATTAATGGTTTTAATGGAACATTAATTACATCCGAAGTAAAAAGTAACAGTTCTAATATGTATAACTCTGGAGATATATTAGACACATTGTAATGAGAAAATAAAAAGAAAATGATGAATGTATGTATACACACCCACCTCTCCAGCCATTGCTGCTGATGCCCAATTACAGAACCTGGCCTACATATCCTTATCCAGGCGATCGTTTCGTGCGCGGTCAAATGGTAGTGCTTCATAATGTAGCAGCCTATGAGAGAACCCGTTCTCCCGAGGCCCGCCTTACAATGCACGGCAACGGCGCCGCTTGCGTTTTCCGCAATTTTGAGAAATTGATTCATTATCGTCTCCGTCGGCGTCGAGCCGTCCATAAAAAATAGATCCTTATGAATGAAGCCGGCGTCGGTGAAGCTCGACGCGTCGTAGACCTTCTTATTAAGCCGTACAATTGTTGTTACGTTATTACGGCGGAAATACGTGAAATACCATTCTGGACCGTGAAGTGGATAACCTGTGGAGAAGGTACACACGGCACTTACAAAATATTGCATTATCTAATATACAGTCATACAACTATCGGTAAACGCACAGTTAAACCGTAATCACACTAGCGATTGAGATTGAGATTGGATTGGTATTTGACCAATCAAAGCAAAATTTACTGAAATTGATATTAGTTATTTTTCTTCTCTGATTGGTCAAGTTCCAATCCAATCTCAATCTCAATCGCTAGTGTGAACTGTGATTACGGCTTTATTATCATGCTAGATGATTTAAGTGATAAAAATTAAATGCACAAATAAATTTTTTCTATGTATATTAAAAGTATCCTCTTTTACTTCTCTCATATCGTTACACGTTCGTCTTCAAATTTTGCTCATATACTCTCATGTATGACCCTCATTTTTGCGCTCGCAAAACACTCTGCTAATTCTGTTTGCTCATCAGATTCCCTCTCATTATTGCACTCCTCTTTACACATGCACACAATCCTACGTCTGACCATTAATGTAACTTAGACGATAGGTACGCACCATCTTCCATTTTAGATCTCGCATGCGGGCCACAGAAAGCAATGAACTTTCCAGGAACTATCCAATTTAAATCCCCATTCTCGACTCGTTCGAAGTGTTCGTACTCTTTAACACAGAAATCCTCGAAATTAAAGAAACCAAGTCGATGGCACTTGTATATAGCACTTAGACAATCCCTTAACGATATCTGATAGCATGGTGGTCCGACGGAGGCGTCGCGAAACATGATGAACAGAGGACTACTTGGACTTTTGGTCAAACATTCGTAAACCTCCTGCACTGTACGTTTGCAATACAATATCTGAAAATACAAAAAATATTTTAATGTGACGGTAACTCCTTTCTCTGCAAAACTTGTATCTATATATATGTCGCTCATTTACTACAATGACATAACTAAAAAAAAAAAAAAAACAAAGTTTTCTAGAAAGTTTGAATGTTTTAAATCATTAAAATTTTGTAATATTATTTTGGAAATGTAATTTTGATATAACTGATTGTAGAAGAATAAAAGTATGTTCATTTAAGATAATTTTTTCCTTTTTTTCTTTGTTTTTCATTCTTGTTAAAAAATAACAATTTTTGTTGTAAACAAATGAGCGATATGTTGACTGACAAAGTCATAATACTAATCATATAACTTTTCCTCTAGAATGGAAAATGAAATTCTTTTAATATTGAAGTTAGTACAAAATTTTTCATTTTTTGTTATCATCATCCAAGGGAAAAAGTTATACGATCGGGGTATCCATAAGAGAAAAAAAGTCTATATTACCGCGTAACTTCCCACGAGAAATGCAGCATTAACTCTCTTCTCCGAATCCATCGTCGTATAATGCACGAGTCTCTTTTTGCTGAGCGCAATGCCCTTTAGCTTCTTGTTAACCTTTTGGCAGTATCTGTACAGCACGGCCAGATTTAGGGGACCAAAGTCGGAGTAAAAATTCTCATATACCAACTCGTTGTCAATACTGAAGTAGTGTGTGTTTGGATTACTTTTTGGTTTCATTGTTGTTCTTAATGTTACAAAGTATAATCGATCTGGAAGAAGAGACAACTTATTCTTCATTTTGTACCTCAGAAAAGGGTGAAAAAAAAAAAAAATTTTATCTCTTGGACATTTTAACAACTTTACACACTATATTCAAGATGATCTAAAATTTTCAGATGTAAATTCTTTCCGATTACAAGACTGCAATGACATGACAATAATGAATGCTATTTCATAGGGAACACATCCAAGGAGGTATTTAAATGTCTTAAAAGTAATTAAAGAAATTGCAAATTGTGCAAAATTTTCTAGACAAAATGTAATTTGGCAATACGTTCGTACGATAAATTCGTGTATCATTCATTTAAATTAATTGACGTAGCATTTTCCCGTCGGTGACCTCACAGATGTCCCGTGCTGTAACGAGAGACGGAAATGTTACACGACATCCCCCGCGACGTTACAGCCGGGGACAGGTCGCGCGGCCAGCGGCGGCGCTTCCTCGAGCGCGGCGTCATCAAAAATAGATTTCTAATCCACGAACGGACCTTACCTTTTATGAATTCGGCCGCGCATATCAAATCGTTCGCGTCCTCCATCGTGATCCAGTTACGGGTGTACGGCGCAGTAGCGGATACCGATCAGGTGGATCTGTCATCAGCGCGACGTTAATGCAAATAGGAGCGTTCAATTAGCGCGATATAGCGCGGGCGCGCAGTAAAAACACGCGGGGACGTCGGGAGTGGGCGGGTAACTAGGCGAGAAGTCCCACTCTCTCTCTCTCTCTCTCTCTCGCTCTTCGCCGCCGCTGTGGATTAATCGACGACGGTCTCTCTGCGGCCTACGCGCGCAAAAGCCGCGAGTGCGTTACGTCAGGCGAGCGCGCGCCGTCGTCGTCGTTGTCGTCGTCGTCCGGTCCGCTCCGCTCCGCTCCGGCACGGCGGAAGAGGTGCCGCGCGCGCGAACTCCCCCGCGTCCCGTATGCTCGGCGTACACCCACGGATGCCGCACGGATCGTGGCCGTCCAATGTCTCCGCTGCGGTAAGCAGAGGTGGGACGCGCTCCTCTCTCTCTCTCTCTCTCGGGCACTCACACGGCTCGCACTCTCGCGTATTCCTCCGCGTACTCGCCGTCGTCGCGGAGACCGTTACGGAATTCAAACTCGTGGGGGAGAGCGGAACCGGATTCCGGCGATGGCCGATGACGATGACTGGTATCGCGGCCGGGCGCGGCGCGTCGCGAGTCTCGTCTGCTCCGATTTCTTCGTCCCTGTTGCCAAAACTGCCGCCGCTACCGCCGCTGCCGTCGTCGTCGTCGTTGTCGTCGTCGACGACGCTGTCGAATGGGGAGGACGATTCGCGCGCGACGTAGATTATTTTATCTGCGCCGGCGGCGCGACATATCGCGCGCACGAGCGTTTTTTCTCCGTGCTCGAAGTCGTTGCCGAGGTCCACAGCTGTTGTCGCCAGTCACCATTATCCGGCTATCCGCCGAGACAATTCGAACGGAGCCGCGAATTTTGATTCGGTCGCCATGTTGTTCCGCATCCGCGCGCCGCAGCGCCATAAACGTGTCGAATGCGAATAGAGTTGGCTCCCATGGAAATTAATTCTCTCATTGGATAAGCGGAGCGCGTTCCACAACTCATCGAAGGAAGAACTCGAATTTCTATTCACGTCGCTTTGCAGGAGGTTTATGACGAACGCAGCACATTCGGCAATCGCCGTTTCGCGTAAGGTAGGTTAGTGTTTTGAATGCGCGCGTGATCGTAGGTTATATTGCGTCTGATGTGCGCTGATGAGAGATTGTTTTCGTTCGGCGTTGCCCCGAGAGTCCGCGAGGGTATCCGTAGAAGAGGTAGAAAGTGCACGGTAAATCCTCCGACTGGAGGAGACCTATGAAAAGGAAAAGAAATCGTCCTGAAGCCCCGAAGACAGGTCGGTAGATTCACGATTTACGGATTAATTGATAACCGATAATTGAAACGCAATTTTCGATATTTCGACAATTTTCGAATTATTCCGTTCAAGAATCTTGCCACGCATGGATGTTCAAGCGGTAACCTACGTTTTGTATCGTTTTTAACAGCTTTGCATGTCCGTACGTCAACGCTGATGTGTTTACATGATTCGCAGGATTGAGAGTAAACGCGAAAGTTCCGAAGGGCCAAAATGGACGAGACGATGGAGATCGACGCTTCGGGTGCGGGCGCGGCCTCGAACTCCTTTGTATTCTCCGTGCCGAGCGCCGTCACTGGTCTTCCGAGAGTTGTCAGTTTCGGCGTGGGATCCGATCATGTCTTCGACGCTCAGCTCAGCAAGAAGAATGTATTCACTTTCGCCGCGCCCACGATAGTGCCGCGGCACGGTCAAACTCGCGCGCGCGCGTCGTGGACGAACCGATCCGACAGGTATAAGCCGAGAATTTCGAGGAACACGTACAAGCCCGCGGCCAACATGTTTGCCAGCGCCCTCAAGGATACGGAGGCGTTCGAACAGCTGAGGAAGAACTCCAGGTCGCGCGTCACCAAAGTCAACGTGGACAACTCGATAACGTGCTCCGACGTGCCCAAGGAGTTGCTGACCAAAGCAGCGGCGAAGGAGTACTTCACGAAGTACGGGAGTATCGTGAAGGTGACCATCCGCCCGAAGAAGCGCATAATCACGGTGGTTTACACGACGAAGATAGAGGCGAGCGCCGCGTATTACGGCGGCGGCGATTACAAAGGCGAGAAGTTTCACATAGAATGGACAAAGTTGGAATCAGCGGCAAAAACGACGACGACGACGACGACGACCGCGGCTAAGAAGAAGAATCTACAGCGGTATATCGTGACGAATCTGCTTAAAGCGCCCGACGACGAGATCAAATCGGAATTGGAAGCCATGGCGGGCGTGGAGTACAATTTGCATTCCGCTAAAGGAAACGAGGTGTCCGACGTGAGCGCGTTGCTGCCGGCGCTGAAGGCGAAAGCGCCGGGAGGGAAAGCGGCGTTGCCGCACGAGAAGGCCACGGCGAAGTCGGAGAAGGCCGCGATGAAAATCGAAAAGCACGACACCGACAGCCAGATGGGGAAACCTCTGCCCAGCACGTCCATAGAGGAGCTGCAGAATATAATACATCAGGCCGCTCTCACGACCGAGGACAGGTACAAGGTGCTGGTGGCCAGGGATCGCCTCTTGCGGCTGAGGCGGATCAAACCGTCCTCGCTCGCGACGGCCAAGGTGACCAGCGGCACGTGCCCGGACATGTGCCCGGAGAAGGAGCGCCTGATGCGCGAGTCGCAGAGGCAGGTCGCGCCGTACGAGCAGCTCGAGGGGAACGAGTACAGGATAAATCACGCGACCGCCGTGAAGCAGTACTCGAGATCCTCCGCGGATCAGGAGGAGCCGATGCCCCACGAGCTGAGGCCGGTGAAGTCCCTGAGGATGACCATGAGCTACCTGCTTCACGAGCTGATGGACCTCTGCGAGCAGGAGGGCGCGAATCTGGCCGAGTGGTATCACTTTCTCTGGGACAGGACGAGGGGCATTAGGAAGGACATCACGCAGCAGGAGCTGTGCTGCGAGGAGAGCGTCGAGCTGATCGAGCAGTGCGCCCGATTCCACATAGTGTGCTCGGAGAGGCTCTGCGCGGAGGACGCGTCCGTGTTCGACAAGAAGATCAACTCGGAGAACCTGACCAAGTGCCTGCAGACACTGAAGTACATGTACCACGATTTGCGGGTGAAGGGTATCACCTGCGAGAACGAGCCCGAATTCAGGGCGTACGTCGTGTTGCTGAATTTGAACAACGGCAACTTCCTCACCGACTTGCAGGGGCTGCCGACGTCCGTGCAAAATTCGCCGGAGGTCCAGTTCGCGATCAAGGTGTACTTTGCGCTGGACTCGAACAACTACTACAAATTTTTCAAGCTCGTCCGCGAGACGACGTACCTGAACGCCTGTATCCTGTTGCGATACTTCAACCAAGTCAGACTCCGAGCTCTCTCGATAATGGTGAAGGCCTACTGCAGAAGCACCTCGACCGCCTTTCCGTTGTACGAGCTGATAGACATCTTCGGCTTCGAGGACGAGAACGAGGCCGTGTACTTCTGCGAGCAGGCGGGATTGAATCTGTCGAACGACGAGATGTCCATACTCCTGAACCGTCAGAGCTTCAACATGCCCACGGCGAGTATCCAGCAGGGCAGGGCATGCAATTTGATAGAGTCTAAGAGGATCACCTTGAATTTCAGCATCGGGCAGTGCATCGCCGGTAAGAGAATGCCGGAGAAGACTTACAGGAATCACAAGCCGCACAACAGTTTCGACGCGCACGGCTATCTGATGCCGGTATCCGTCAACGCCGCGGACCAAACGAGAGCCGATTCCGCGGAACGGTGCGATCCGTACGAGTTTACGGAGAAGGAGACGAAGAGGATGCCGAAGTTGACATCGATCCGGGATAAAGATCAGAGAGCCGCGAAGGACCTCCGTGCGCAGATACGAAAGCAGCCGGCGAACGCGACCAGCGAGGCGAGCGCGTTCAAACACGTGTCAGTTCCCGATTCGGTCGGCTCGGGCGTCTTTAAAACGGTAACGCCCGCCGCACCGCCGAGTGTATTCTTCGAGCACAAGCCGAGGGAACCGAATGTATATGAGAGGAAGACTCAAGCGTCGACAGCTTCCGAGAAACACTCTGACAGCAGAAGCGCGGTGAGTACACAACTACGCGGAGACGTCAACGACAAACAGCAGTCGGCGATATTCGGTAGCAGCGGTACCTTCGGTAACAGCCTGTTTGCGGGCAATCCTTCCGTGTTCTCCAAACCGGAAACGTCGCGTAATTCCGAGCCGGTCCCGCCGTTTGCGATGGCCTTGAGCAAGAGCATCTTCTCCGGGGTAGAGTCGGGAAATACATTCAGGAACGTTACGCCTACCTCCTCCACGATATTCATCAATAAACATTTTCCCGTGCCAGTTTCTATCCCGGCGTTCACCGATGGCGCGAGTAAGACGACGAAGGAGCAAAGTGTTCACGAAAGGGAACAGAGGGCCCGGGAGGAAGCGATGTTGGAGGCTGAGAAAGCGAGGCTGGAGCGGCTGGAGCACGCGAGGAGGATGCAACGAGTCGAGGAGCAGTCGGAGGAGATCTACGATAGCTTGCGCGCGGAGGTCACGCACGAGCTGTGCTCCGCCATCGTGAGGCAGGACGTCGACCGGCTCGAGATGTACGACACGTTGAGCAGGAGAATCTTCTCGGACATGATCGACGAGATTAACCGCGAGATGTGCGACGCGGCGTTGTCCGCGGAGATCGAGCAGCAGCGGAAGCTGGAGGCGATGTTACGGCGAATCAAGAACCGGGTGATCGTCAAGTGCGTGAACACCTGGCGGCAGCACGTGTCGAGGAGGAAGCGGCAGAGAGCGGCGTTGGAGGACACGCCGGTCTGGCTGCAGAGGCACTCCGTGGAGGAGACCGCGCGGATGCTGTACACCAAGGAGCAGGAGGTGGTGATGCGAAATATGCAGCGGAAACGTCGAGGCGAGCTGGAGGACGTTGCGGCCGGAGCGACGGCGGCTCTCGCGCCGATCGAATTCATCGTTTATGCCGGCATCAGGGAGAACGTACGCTCGTTGGACGTCGACCCGCTGCCCAACGTGTACTGGAAACTCGTCATCTCCTGGCCGGATCTGGCCAACCGGGCGGTCCTGTGGTACCACAAGAAGATGATGAACGAGTACTTGTATCCCAAGAACTTCACGATGAATCCGATCGTGAAGATCTATCGGCCGAACCCTTACGAGACCTTGCACGTCTGCATAAGGCACTTCGAGGGCCTGTTCAGCGAGCACCACCTGATCGGCGCCGACGCGCTCCTGTTCATCGCCGACGCCTCGGAGAGCTACAGATCCGTCGCGAAACGTCTCACGAGAACCGTGCTGTCGCGGCACAAGCTGATGCCCATGCCGCTCGCCTTTATCGTCCTGGGTAACGGAGACTTGGAGAACCAGAACGATAGCATCGTCTCGGACTTGGAATCCTTTCTGGAATCTGGCTACGTGTCGGAATATACGATCATGTACGAGGAGAATCTGTCCGCGAAAGTTGTTTTAAATTTGACGCAGAGCGCAGTTTTATGGTTGACGATGAACAAATCACCGCCGAATCCGCTGGAGATGGATTATCTGCGTAACGTGTACGACATTTGCTTGTCGGAGGAGTTGTGGCTGAGGTAAGATTCCTCCCCTCTACTCACATTCTTAACTTCCGATTATATATTCCAATGTATACATTCTATATTCTGTTCGCTATTACAATTTTCAGGATACTGGGTGACTCTGTGTTCAATAAGCAATTGTCGAACGCGTTGAAGGACCCCAACTTTATAATCGATTTGCACAACGAGGCCGTGAATCACTTGATAGACATAATCTTAGATCCGGAATCCATGTTGTACACGAATTTCGCGCCTGAATTAAAAAAGTTCCTCAAAGGCAGCAACACCATGCCGCGCGGTTACGAATACTTTGACGAATCGTGGAAACGAGATGAATACAGAGCAAAAATAGAGACTGTGATGAACGGTTTTGTGCTACCACCGTGGAAGTAAGTGATCGTCGTAATTACTGACAAATATCTATCGTAACGCAAAACTCACACGATAACCGTGTACTTTCGATATTCTGTTAATCACGTCGTATTTCTTTCTTTTCTCGTTTCAGTGCACCGTGGCCAATAACAGACATACAAGATCTACGACGGCACATTATGAATTACTGCAGGGAGGTGCTGTCCGACTCGAACTGTAATATCGTATTTTGCGATATACTGAGCAATCTGTTCCTCACCTCGGGCAGCTTACAAGTGTCCAATTTCGTACACATACTACTGCACGTGGTCAGGGAGAAGATACGCCTCTTGGACGAGGATCAAACGGTCATTTACAATAGGAATCACATCAAGCATTTCCGCACGTTACCGTGGTGGTTCAAATCCAACGTGCTGACGGAATTCATGTTGCACGAATCGGGCGCGGACAGTAACGTTACGTTGGACGAATCGACGAGTAAACGAAAGAAGCTCGACAGATCCGACACGTTGGACGACAGCGCGTTAGACGAGGAATTTGGTATACTGACGGAGTTTTGCGAGAGCACCAAAGCCCGTGTCATGGAGGTGCACTCTGTATCCATGGAGGTGGAGAATCGCTTGCAGGCGCAACAGATGGAGAACACGTTATTGGAGGACAGACTGAAGAACGCTTTGCTCGACGAGATGGACCTGACGGAGGAAGGCGTATAAGTTTTCCCTGTTTAATATATTTTAATAGTAATCTTTTGTTATATTTTATATTATATACACGTTTATGTACAACATGCATTATATTTATATACTGACATGCGACTATTTACCTTGAAATAGTGTTTTTTTCCAGCCAAATATATCTCAGTAAATGTATTAATGTTTGAAGTATATTTTGTAAATAACTAGAGGGAATATTAAATCGCTGCTACGATCTTACTTAAATGTTACTAAGTTGTTTATGTTATAAGAACCATAAAAATAGAGCTAGTCATTAATTTATTTTTTTCGTAACGTAATTGTTTCATATATATATATATATATATATATATATATATATATATATATATACATAATATGTAATTCGTAGAATTATAAGATTCGGAAAATATATATTTTTAACAAAACACATCGCTTTTTCACGATCATAAAGGTATTGTCACTTGATATTGTACATTCACAACACAGTTAAATTCTCATAGAGAAGACAAGAAAGAGAAACTTCTCCAGAAATGATGAATATTCTGAAAGAATCAGTGCAGTGAAAATATATTAAATTATTTATTTAATTAGTCACACACAAATTTGCTTTTCCTATATTCATATATCTCTCCTTGATTTGTATTGCATTTCGGTCTCCTCTTCTCTCTTCCCCGATATGACAATTTTATTATACATGATCTAGATATATATATATATATACGCCTTCAAGGAGAGATATTTAATACAGCATATTATTTAACACGAAAGTCATTAATAAAATTTATCAGTGAACTGAGATCAAATGATGCTATAATACAATGTGTTTTTTGTAACATTATATACAGAATATAATACAAATTGACATGATATTTTGCTTTCTCGTAAAAAAATTTTGTATAACAATTTTTTCACATGTATAATCATATAAAATTTCAAATATAGTAAATTAATGTTATGATAATACCCGATTATCAAGATTTTTCATTTTTCTACTCACAGAACACATTTACAGTTCCATTATTATTTCATCATTAATCGATCGTTCGATCGGGATCCTCAGGTAAAAGCGAGCTATATATATTTTTCATTTGGTTCCGCTATGCTTTTGATTTATTCCTAATTCAAGTCTCTATTTAGGAAATAAATATTGCAAATGCCATAAAAGTCTCATATTTCCGTAACAGTCTTTTACAGCATTCGAACGAAACACGATGTTATAATTACTCTACGATTAAATATTATGCGGAAATATGCTAACATCATTGATGCATAAGTATCTGAAGTACCCATTTTGGGAGAAGAAACGTTTAATTTATTCAGTAAAAAATAAAAATATGGTTAAGTTGAACATAATATGTTATCGAAAATATAACATACTATGTTAGTATAAGATACACATATGCGTCGTATACGACATTCGTGATGCTCGTGAGGTATCACTCTATTAAAATTATCATGCGTGTAAGAGTGATGTAAGTCAATTACAACATAAATAATACGGAAACGTAGGCGAATGGTATTTTCGTAACGAGATACACGCGCATTTACCTCGTTCGCGTAAGACAATACGCAGACTATATGCGTATTTCTTGAGATACATCTTAAAATAAATACACAGAAGGTCTGTTTCAAGAAGTTTAATTTTGTAGGACTCATATAAAAGATTTAGTTGAGTTCTACGTGAAAATGAGAAGAGAGACTATATTGTGTGTATTCATCCGTTTTTCCAAGTCCTGACATCCGCGAGTATGATATTTTATTTTATTACAAAATATGACAATATAGTACGCAGTATGAAATAATATTCAAGATCGAGTTCGTCACAAAGTCCTAATTTTGTCACGAACGTCTCGAATATGAATTAATTAGTACTCGAGGCGAATGTGACACGCGACATCTTTAATAAACAAGTAATTGGTTTTTTTTTACTTGTGCTAAGTATAATTTGAGAATGATCGCATAATTTGTGAGGGCACAGACACATTTTGATAAAATTATCAAAGTTTTGTCAGTTTAACAAGCTGCCGATACATATATTGATGAAGTCTAACTTCATCAAGAATGTCAATCTTGGATTACCCTTGCGGACAGCAAAAACAATCGTATCTGGATTGTGTTACGGGATGCGGCGCGAAATTATATTGAGCGTAATCAATAAATAAAAAAATAATAAGACAAGTCATTTTCCAAACTATTCCTTCGCTTATTTGAAAGGTTGCGTACCTTTAATTGCAAATCCGGATGAAACCTCACTGGAAAGGGAGTATCACCGGGTTACCGAGTGGGAAGAGTAATCCAGGACGAAATGTGCGAAAGCATCATTGAATAACTTTACAGATAGGGGAGCGAGCCCACGAGCAAACAAGCGACAACGTACAAAATACCTAGGTATACATTCAACCCGGCTGTCTGTTTAGGCACATCTTGAATTCTATGCGGATTGCGGAATTCCTTTTCTATTTTAAAGGCGGTCATCAGCGTGACCACTGGCAGTAAAAACCAGATGGAATATCTAAGCGCCATTACCGCGAAAATTATATACGGTGTAAACAGTAAAAAAGCATACAAAACGTGAGACGCTGTGCGGCCTATTAAGATAGCCAGCGTTACGATTCCCGCCCTCCTGTCGCTCTCCATGTCCCTCGTGTTGTTGCTGTGCAGAATAGCCTCGGTGTTCAAAGCGAGCGGTATCGCGTAATAAATTGTTCCTAGCTCAAGGTAACCGGTTTGCGCCATGAACGCAAATAGAACTGAAATCGGGCCGAATATGACTAAGATAAGTACGTCGCCCAGGGCGATGTATTTCAATCCTATGCCCCCCGTGTAGAGAAAGGAGGAGGACAGGCCTCCGAAGTACACGAGGGCCAGGTGCTCCATCTTCGCCGGCGAGATGGCGGTCAGCAGGACGAATCCCAGACAGCCCGCCGCGTACAGGAACGCCCCGAGCGAGACCAATTCGTCCTTGGACAGTAAATCGTCCACCAGTATTCGGTCATCGCTCTTCCTGCTGTCGACGCCCTTCACGTAGTCAAAGTAAGTGTTCACTACATTACCAGCGCCGTGCACGCAGAGCACTATGAACACGGTAAGGATCAGCGATATCCAGCTGAAGCTTGCCAGGCCCGTCAGCCGATACGCGAGCGCCGACCCGAGAAGCGTCGGCATCAGCGATGCGCTCAGCGACCACGGTCGGACTGCCAGGAAGTACGAGGACAGCTTCATGAGGGGATCCAACGACGACGACGACGACGACGATGACGACGACGACGGCGATGTGGCGGTTGACGAGTGATGTACATTATTCCGCATCGAGGTCTCCTCGATTTGCTTAATCGGATTCTGAACGCCGTTGGACATCATGTTTCGTGTACAGTACTAAAAAAAACACACACACACACACGTACACAACATTGTCACTTGAACGCTAAGGCGTAGTAGTGATAGGATCTCAAGAATTGGAAATGACCCGTGGAGAAGAAGAGCCGCTAAGGTCAGAGTTGGTCAGAGTTGACAAGTCACGCGTCAAAAAATTATTTCCCATGAATCCATCACGCGATAAACAAATCTTAATAATATCGCGTTCTTACTTCAAAATTGAGTTCGAACGGTCAAAAAAAAAAAAAAAATCAAATTTCCCAGATTCTCGACTAATCGAGAGGGAAATGTTCTCGCTCAATTCATTCACGTGGTAATGACTCGAAAATTACGTTTTTTATTCGTGTCACTTTTCAAGCGAGGATGCGACGTACATCCTTCGCGAACGTAAAGCCCACCGAGGCTTCCTCTACACTACGTTAATACGAAATAAAGAGAGGGGAAAAAAAAGGTGATTACCGACAGACACGGATCTTTCGACACACCACACGGCACTTGAGTGCCTCCGGTGCATTGTACTTAACGGTATCCCAATTCCACGCACCGTACACGCGCCGCATCGCGCCGCGCGATATGTTTCCATGTGTAACTTGCTCGATTCGTCGGGCGATCAAAGAGTTGTCGAGAGAAATATAACTGTAACTGACACGTACGGAAGTAGGTACGACACACGGGGGGCGGCCGCGGAGCCGCGTGCCAAGGAACTTTTCCGAGACGACAGACGGTGGTCAGGGTTTCGCGCTGAACGTAGGCGGGGGGGAGGGGGAGGGGGAACCCGCTGCGCGGCGGTGCGTTCCCGTTGGCGCGCCCCCGTGGAGGTCAAACCCACCTGACTGAGATTCCCTTCGGTGAAACAGGTGCGGACGAAATTAGGTTAGGAGACCAAGCCAACGCTGCCCGTGACAACTCGTGTAATGTCTCGTCCGTCGCGCGCGTGCTGGTACATCATATAATTATTCGTCGCCACGTTGGTGCTCGCTCGGACGGCATTACCACGCGAATGCGCGACACTCTACTCCGGTCCGGATCAAGAGATGCTCTCCTCTCCTGACTCCTCTCCCGCTGGTCCTTTACGAATGTCTCCCCCCTCCCCTCCCTGCCCCCCCCCATCACCCTCACCCGGCGTGTGTACGTATCTCTTGTGACGTGGTCTGTTCTTTTCGTTTCAGCTCCACCGCCATGTCGCATTCTCTGTCCGCTACTCCGCTCCGCGCGCGGTCCGCGTCGCGCTCGTGTTGGAGCTTGGAGGTTAGGTTGGAGTAATGTCACAACGTAACAATTATTCATACGTGTGTACATCGTTCCACGGAAGGAAAAAGAACGAAGGAAGAGATTGAAGATATAAAAGATGCGAATTGAAATGATAGAACAGCTGATCACGAGCCCGTGCTTCTCTCAATTGAAAAAACGCGAGGGTCTGCCCATGTATTGTATATGTATATATACAGTTGTGGACACATCGGTTGCGGCACTTTTTTTTCATAAGTTTGTAATATATATTTAATATACATAATATATATTTAATATACATAATATATTTTATAGATTAGATTATTTTATAGACTAATATTTTGCAAATGCGAACCACGATGTATACTATCTTTAGTCTAAAGACAGTATAACACCAATCGTGGTCCGCACTTGCAAAATATTAGTGATCTATAGAATATATATTATGTACATATTAAATATATATTATAAACTTATGAAAAAAAAGTGTCGCAACCGATGTGTCCACAACTGTATACATATACAAGGGCAGACCCTCGCGTTTTCAATTGAGAAAAGCACGGGCTCGTGATCTGTTCTCTCAATTCAATTGTGTCCATGACTGATACGTACATACGTGTGGCATTAATTTTCACGCGGCGGAAAAAGCGCTGTAGCCCAATAATCAAATCTCAATTTCTATATATACATATCACGCGGAAAAAATTAAATTCGATCTCGATGCAACATTGATTAGCTATACCGGCATCGCGTTTTGCCGCGCGGCAACAACCTGCATATACGTAAAGAAAATTATCCAATTGTATTTTCCTTATGATAGAAATGCAATTGGATAATTGTTTTTATGCACCAGGCTATGCTTGCAGTATCTTTTTACGCCGGCGGTCTTTTATTTTTAATTGGATCTATATAGCGATCTAGCGATATCAGTGCGACAAATTATCGTATTATATATATAGCTACATCAGCGTCGTAAGGTTCAAGAAATTAATAATAGTATTTTTAATTAATAGTATTTTATAAATTACAAGTTCTTGCACTTTTTGAGGTCACCTTAATCCCCACGTGAGCTGCACGTACGTATATAACTTTTTTATTTAATTAAAAAAATTTAATTTGAGTAATTTTTCTGTTTATTAGGGGCACTCAAAGTACGCATTGTACATTAAACATTTTATTTATGCCGTACGTGAATTGTTTTTATTAAATTACCTATAAATTTCTTATTAAAATAATCTAATAGTTAATGTAAATATATTCTGAAAGAGCCATTTTTTGTCGCAATGTTGAATAATGCAAAAAATCACACACAACTCATGTTCAATAAAAAATTAATTAAAGGTAAAAATTCATTTTTTTTTTAAGCTGTAAACTGTATTCAAATTTTTAATTCACGCCACAAAACTTTATAAAATTAATTTAATTAAGAACTTTAAACAATCACGTTGTTGAAATAACACATATATTTTGTGTATCTATACTTTAACTTTAAGAGTACAAAGAAAATAATTAAAATTTATTTGATTTTTAGCGTTTGTTTTTACTGTATATTGCAAATTACGAGTTGCAAATTACTAATCAAGTAATTACTAGCCAAGTAATTACCAAGTAATTGCGTGATAAAGTATTTTTTATTTTTAAAACTATATATCGTATAAATTCTAAGCTTGAGTATACTCAGGTTTAGAAAATTGAGCGAGTGAAATAATATTGATATTTCAATGTATGTAATATCAAATCTTTTATTTAAATTATACAGCCGTTCGAATGACTCGAATCTTCATACTGTACAAATAAAAGTAGTTAAATCTGTAATAGTAACATATTTTTATTAGGAACATTATAGGAATATCATTTTATTCGAAATAATATTGATATACGAATAGAAAATTATTAATGCTATGTAGAAATCATAAAAAATGTAATATTATATACATATGAGATTTGGTATGCAGCCGAGATTAGAAATCGCTATCAGTCATTTCGGAATCTGTCTCTTTATTTTTAATTACTGACGAACCGTCAATCATTTTCTCAATCAAGTCATCAATCTGAAACATCTTTTTCTCTTCATTTTTCACAAACTTTATAAAATTATTCCAATATTCAGCTGTTACCTGACTAACACCTTGTTCAACTAACAGTTTCACATCTTCTGCATTACCATTGTTGTTACTACTCTTAATGGATTTTTTAATCATTGACCATATTATTTCAATCGGATTGAGATCGCTGTGATACGGAGGTAATCTGAGAACCGTTTTGCCTTCCTGCTTCGCCATTTCGTCTATGATATACTTATCGAACTTGTTCTTTTGTTGTGCAACAATGTGCAAGAGCTCGGCCTTCGCCATAGTCTCCGCGGACACTTCTTTTCCCTTGCTCTCCAACCATTTTATTATTTCGCCTTTCTTCCAAGAGATATCCGGTAATTTTTCCACTTTCGCACAATGATGCGGAGCGTTATCCATGACGATGACAGCATTGTCGTCTAACGATGGTAGGATACGTTTGAACCATTTGTGAAATAGGTTGACGGTTATTTCGTTGCTGTAATAATTTTCCGCTGTCGAGGGGAAACATAGAAGTCCGTCGGGAACGAAACCGGCAGCGCTGCCGATATGCAGAAAAAGTAACTTGTCTTCTTCACTCGGACCGGCTGGCTTCGCGGTCAACCGATGGAAGGATGCATCCTTATTGAATTTAACTGTTTCCATCCAATCTTTATTTGCAGTATCATCGACGTTAATCCAAGTCTCATCCAGATAATAAATCTGCCGACCCTCCTCTCGATATCTCTTGATAGTTTTTAGGTAGGTTCTTCTCCAAATAACCAGATCTTGTGTCTCCGTCAGGATGTGGCCTTGGTTGGTAAATGTAAATGTAAAATTCAGTTCCTTCATCAGTAAATAGAATGTTGATCGTTTAAAATTCAAGAGTTTCTTGTCGTCGCTTAAAGCCTGTAGAATTCTGACCGTCGTTGGGAATATATTGTTCATATAAAATTCATGAATTTTTCTCCGAATAGCTTTCTTGTTAACTTCGTCGTCACTTTTGTCTTTGAATCGGCGACATCTCTTCCTATTTGGGATTAAAATCCCACCTGTCCGCTTATACTCCAACAATATTTTTTTTATGCTGTTATTACTAACACCCGATTCCTCTGACAATAGAGTAACAATTTGTTTTTTTAACATTTCTGGAGCGGCTTTCTTAATTCGCTTGTATAAATTAATAACTTCAAGCTTACGATCGCTGTGGATCATCTGAAAATGTAAATGAAAAAGATACGTTTCAAAAAGAAGCAATAATAAATTTTGAATAATTTTAAATTTAAATAAAACAAAAAGAGATCTCTATAACAATAAAAATCAAAATAAGATAAACAAAAAATCCTGCTCTAAAGGACAGCCACTGGGATTCATTTGTAACAAGGACAGCAATTAGTATGGATCATTATTCATTTTATCATGCGATCTTAACACTTTCTGTAATTTGAAGGTACATATGTGAGAAACAATTTCATCACCATTATATTAGCGTTCTATGTTTTTCACTGATTTTTAACTGTTGATCATTTATTACAAGGTCGAAACATTTGAATATTTGACTCGTATTTATTTATGTATTTATTAGTCCTTTTGTTATTGATTTCGAATTTTATTGTTATGTTCATTAACTATGTTAAATTTCTTTTTTTTTTTATTAAAAAAATATGTACTTGCGATTATTCAAACAATTCAATAAATTTCAATATATTTCTTTTCCAGTGAATTTGTACTAAAAGGGACACTTTAAACTTTAAAACTACAATCTCCGATATGTTACAAATTATTATTTTTTAACATTTACAATATAATTTAAAGCTAATAAGAGCCAAAATGCATTACAATACTAACGTTGTATTGCAATGCATTATTAATGTAGTAATTGTTAATACATAATTTGAACACCAAAAACTGCTTTTGATTCTCATTGGCCTTAATTTATATTGTAATTTTTAAATTTGAGAGTCCGCCATTTTAATATTGTTATTAATTTTTACTCATCGCAATGTTTACCTGGCCACGTTTCTTTTTCGTGATGAAAGAATATGATGGCACTTCGACGAATTCAATGTCAATTTTTTCCTCCATCGTATCGGGTAAGGCAGCGTCTATAATACACACAGAGTAAGTCTTACACTGATGTAAGAAGCAAGATAAGGTTAAGCAACCTATAAATCCAGCCCCAGAGTATAGATGTGAGAAATAAATTATTATACAAACCGTTCGACATCGATCTATTTTGAAAGTGTTTAATAACTGTGGATAGCTGCAATGATATATATTATATCGAGTGGTGGAATATTGAAACTCTGGTGTAAATATTTGTACGCCGATACTTACAGGAGCAGTACTATATTCTGAGTGAAATTCTCAGTGAAAAATCTATCAAGAAACGATGAAAATCTCACGCGGGATTTCCTCTCGTAAAAGGCCTCTTCATAGCGTTGCACTACTTTATTTTGCAGTTTATTTATGGCTTGTGCCAGCAGGTGGCATTATCAGAGTAGTTATTTGAAATAACAATCGTTTTAAAAATAATGTCGTCGAACAATATTTTTGATTAGTTTTTCTACCAATAAAGTATTACGATGGAAGAAAAATTACCTCGAAATGCTTAAGATTATCTCCCTTGAAGACAAAAACAAATTGATATGATCAGGTAAATATAATCACATATAAAAATTAATAACCAGTATTATTATTTGCCGCAGCATATCGGAGGCTTAAAATTTAAGGTTTCTCTCGCAGTGATATCGTGTTTATATCCTTTAATTTAACTTATGAAGCTCAAGCGTGTCGTACGATACTTGGATACATACATACATCCCTACTTTTGGCTGCTGTTATGCCGTCCCCGGCTGCGTTCACGCGTGATGCGCATGGAGTATTATTTTTTAACCTTGTTTAACATTTGGCGAACAACAAGGTTAAAATAATACATCTTGCGCATCACGTGCGTTACTCACTGCGAATACTGAAAATCAATATAATTTACGTTAAATAGGATTTTTAATAATCGCGGTAAATAATTTAACAAAAGTATGAAATCCATTTTATCCGGCAAGAGAAAAAATAAATTATCGGTCTGCGCATTATATGCGAGGGCAGCGTAGTGGGAAACAGCTGTCTCTGACAGCGTAGCGTTATCCAATACCGTATAGTATATAACATATAAAGACGTACGACACATTCGGACCTTACGTATGATAATATTTATTTATTTCACGAAATAAGTGGGGCTCCACCATTAGGCTATAATCCGCTTGTTATATGTCATACATACAAATGCTTCGAAGCATTAATTTTTTAATTGATCATCAATTCATAAAATTCTCTGTTCCGATTGTCAATTAAACGCTTCGCAGCATTTGTAGCGCGAAATGGACCGCAGCCTTAATTATAAGTGGGCTTAAGATTCCATTCGGCCAATGAAATCGCTTCTCGAGATGACATTTAGAGACTAGGCTGTATGAACCGATTTAAGTGTAAGATGCACTACGCGCACAGCTGACAGCGTGTCTAACCTCACTCCTAACTCCTAGTCTCTACAAAGAACGTAAACATTGCAGGAAAATATTAAAGTGTACGATAAAGAGACATGCGCATCGAGTCAATTTTAGTCAATTTGGCGAAATTGATTTTCGTGAGAAGACACGACGACGTGCCACTAACGATGAGATGAAGAAGGGAAGAAGCGAGTCATCGTTTACGTAAAATATGGAGCAATTGCGTTCCTCGAACAGAGCGGTCGACATGTCCGAGCCGATCCTGGCGGAGGACAGCACGTTTTCTACAATAGCGTTATCGCTGCGGGCGGTGTTGGAACAATTGGACGAAGGTGTCAGTCACCACGACTACCTCGTTGCGCTGCTGCTCGTTCTGTCGGCGGAATCCGGCTTTGGCATTTCGTCCGTTTTTGACACTCCGAAATGGTAATACATATTTTGAGAATTTAAATACATGTATTATCGCTTTTTCATCTTTATCTATTAATCCACGTGTTAATTTAACAGGGAGCAAAATACAAGATTAGTTCGTATACCCACAAATTGGAAGTCGCAAGAGACAGGTGTATACGAGATATATTTGACGTTGCGTAATGTAAATAACGTTAGGTCGAAATTAATCGCGATAACTCACGGCGATAAATTGGTACTCAATATTCTGTCATGCGTAGGAGACAAGACGATTCGTAGTATGGTCATACAGACGTTGAGATATGTGAATCCGTACACAAGCAATTGGTGTCTTCGATATATGAATCTCAAAGAGATATCGCACAGGTATGAATTTCTGCATTCTAATGCAATGTCAGAAGTTATTACTTATCTTTTAAATTTTGTTTCTGCTTGTAAATATATATATATTTTTTTATTTACAAATTTATATTTATATATATTTACAAATATTGTACTATTGTATTGTATATGTGTATATAATATTGTGTAAGCTATCCTATATACCTACTGTCTGACTTATGCCTGTTACCCACCTTTATACCTGTTTAATAAATATATGTAACATATTTCTTACAAGATTAATTTTTCAGGTTTAAGGATGATCTAGTCACGCCTTTGCGCGCAAACATATTGTTAGCGTTGAATTCGATGGGTCCTAGTTTAGAGAGCTTGCCGATAGAATTACATAGGAAAATCGCAGATATGCTGCCTCCGAAAGATATCGTACATTTTTTATTATGCTCTAAGAGACTTTATGCATCCATTTCAAAAAATTATGTTGATAAATAAGAAATTTGTGTATGACTTAAAATATGAATAAAAAGGCTGTGCAGTTTCTATTGACATCTTTGCGAAAAGATCATTCTTACTTTTAACAGAATAAATTTCATTTCCTTACATGATCTTTGAGCAGTTGAACGCAAAATTACCGAAATGATTGAAATAATAAAAAAAAATAATTTAATACATTTTTTAATCTTCACATGAGTGATTACATTAAAATTCTTTAATTATTCTCTCGTTGATAAAATGATGACAATTTGTATTATTCAGACGAATATATTAATTCTGTAAGAGAACGTTAAGCACGCTGCATTTGCTGTGTGTGAGAAAGATAATTTTCTTTTTTCTAATCTAATCTTTATTCGAAGGTTTTTGCGAAATTATAGAAATAGAACCATAGCAACTTGTGATTTCTAAAATCTAAAATTTTGTTTTTCGCTCCTATTGCTCCCTGAGTGCAAAAAGTGCAAGCAACGCGAACAGACGCGAAATAGCACGCCGTAAACCCAAGTGACATTTTGAGGTTAAGCGGTCCCTGAAAGGTTAACTTACGATTTCAGATGTTCGTAAACAGTGATCGTAAGTTACAATATTGAAATTATTAAATTTTGATATCACGATGAATGCAGTTACGACGGAGGAAGAGAGAAAGATCCTTCACTTCTTAAAATCCCAAGGCTGCTGTTTGAGATGTTGCTTTCGTTTCGTTGGGTATCGCACGTCGGAATGTTACTGCAAGCCTTTCGAATTTGCGGCGCAGGTAAGACAATTAAAAAAGTAAAGAAAAACGTTCAACGTCGAATATCTTGAGAAAAATAGTTCGTTTAAATTTGTAATCGATACTGTCATAACTTTAAATATATAAAGATTGCACTTTGTAATAGATTGTATACATGCAATATTAATTTGTATAAGAAGAAACAAGCAACGTCGAGAATATTAATAAAATAATTTGTTAAAAAAAAACAGATTATGAACAAATAATTTTATTGTTAAGAAAAACTTGGTTTGGCAAGTACTCATATTTTAATATTCACAGCTGAGTGAGAAAAACGTCCAACATCGAATATCAGTCTCGATAAAAATAGTCCGTTATATTTGTAATCGATATTTTGTCATAAATTTAAATCTAAAGATTGCACTTTGTAATAGATTGTACATACAATATTAATTTGTATAAGAAGAACGTCGAGAATATTAATAAAATGATTTATTGAAAAAGATAGATTATAAAACGAAGTTTTATTGTTAAGATAAACTTGGTTTGGCAAGTGCTTATATTTTAATATTTATTACAGCTGAGTGAGAAAAACGTCCAACATCGAATATTAGTCTCGATAAAAATAGTTTGTTTAAATTTGTAATCGATATTGTCGTAAATTTAAATCTAAAGATTATTGCACTTTGTAATAGATTGTACATGCAGTATTAATTTGTATAAGAAAAAACAAGCAACGCCGAGAATATTTAATAAAATGATTTATTAAAAAAAAAAAAGATTATGAACAGTTTTATTGTTAAGATAAACTTTGTTGAGCAAGTGCTCATATTTTAATATTTATTACAGCTGAGTCATGCCGATATAAGAGGCGACGCTTCTTTGGAAGAAGCGACTTGCGTCGCATGCTTAGGAATTCTTCAGGATAAGGCCCAAGAAAACGTAGTGACAAAGGTAGAGTATTAACAATTTATTTTATGAGCATCGGTGGTTCGGTGGTTTAATATATGTATATTTATAATGCAGCTCCATACATGTTTTATTTAGCTTTACATTCTTGACGTTTGAACGATATATCTTTAATTTCATGCAGATAGCGGAAAAAGTGAAGGAGAGAGATTACGACTCTACGACTTTCACTTGCGCACTGACCGTTCCTGTGTCGATAAAGCTCAGGGAGCATGTATTATACGCTTACGTGTCCAAAGAGACGGATATTCACGAAGATGCCTTAAGTACTCTTAGAACAAGATTACAAAGTGTCAAAGATATTTGGAAATCTTTCATGATTCCCCAACTCGAGGAGGCTATGGGGAAACGTGCCGATCTGTCGACACCGTCGCCTTTTCTCGTCGAGGTCTTTCTGACGTACGCCGATGACGAGATGATATTTAAAGAAATGTACGTATTTTTTTTTTAAGAATTCAAACGAAAATTGAAACGAATCTCTGCGATTAATAACGATATAGACGACTTGTTTTAGATAAAAGAAAATTGCATTCTACATCTCGGGAACTTCTCCCGTTTCTACTTGCAGAATAAACGAACACAAGGCAGGCGGAAATAAACAGAAAAAGAGGAAGTGCAATGATAACAAATTTAGTAGGAAAAACGTTGATACTTTGCTGGTCGAGATGACGGATGAACGACTTATGCGACATTTTACGATCTCGCAAATCGCACCGAAAACATTCGTTCGTATTGACGATGTTTTGTGCTCTCACAGCAGCGTCTTTATAGGAGGTACGCGGAGACGCGACTTAAGCAGCGACAAAATAAAATTGTTTACGACGCGCGTCACGAGATTCCTCATACAAATTTTCGAATTACAGGACGTTACAATAAACTCTCCAGGAAACTCAGCCAGACGCCGTGGCTCATAAATGGCGAGAAAAAAGTAGAAACCTCCGTGCAAGACCTGCTCTGCAATCCCATCGCGGAAATTGTGAAAGCAGAATGTACGTTTTGACTGGATTTGCTTGTGTTTTTATAGCATATATATATATATATATTTTTTTTTTTTCAATAAAAAAAACTGTTTATGTTCGCACAGCGATAAAATTTTTATCGTCAGGAAGAGAAGACGTCGACGTAAGAAACATCTATGGTGGCCGACCATTCGCTGTCGAGCTGGTGAATCCCCGTATGACGAGTATCACGAACGAGCTTCTGACGCGTCTGACCGATAGTATCAATCAGTCGACTAAGCAGGTTCAAATAACATCGAGTTTAAGAGTTCTTTCAAGGTATACCTTTTTTAAAATAATGAGATTACAAAATGTAGTGTGACATAAAGTTAATGATAAAAATGATCGTTGACGAACGAGCAATTTAATTGCATTATAAAACATTCTGCGTACATGTATATATATATATATATATATATATGTATATATATATATATAATATAAAGTATATAATATATAATATATACAAGTGTAATATATATGGTATATAATATATATACAATATACGCTTCCAGATTCGATTTGAAGAAGCTCAAGGAAGGTGAGAATGCTAAAACAAAATTCTATCGAGCGCTGTGCGTCTGTCGGAACGCGAGTGGCGATCTACCGCGGCTGGAACATCTGAACGAACTGGAAAACGTGAGAATTATACAGAGGACACCGGTCAGAGTGCTGCACCGACGGCCATTGAGCCCGCGTACGCGCATCATTTACAAGATGCGCGCGCGTTGGGCGAAGCCGCACGAGCTGAAGGGATTGCTGCACACCGTCGCCGAGAGTACCGACGCGTTTTTCGTTCTCGACGTCAAGACGCAAGCGGGTACATACGTAAAAGAATTCGTGCACGGAGATTTCGGTAGGACCAAGCCGAGCCTGTGCGATCTCCTTAATGTCGAAGTGGACATTGTCGCATTGGACGTCACGGGTATTAATTTAAAGTGGCCGTAACGCGAGTTTCAACTACATCGAGAGATATTACATCTAACTAAATAAAAAAAGTACAATAAAGATATCAAACATGAAGTATGCGTTGTAAAGTCGATAAAAAAAAATAATGTTCCCTTTAAACTTAACTCTAGAATTGTCGACGGTGCCATTCTGGCTCTGCTAATCAGTTAAAATTTTTTTTTCTTTTTTGTATTGTACAGAATGCTAAAAATATGTGAATATCTACAAATAATTCTAGTGACACGTGAGTTATAGTGAAATAATTCTACACTACTATTGTCAAACCAATTCTTCGCTAACCGTAAGCAAGGACAGAAAATTACCAAATTAACCCTTTCGGCAGTTCTAGTGAGATCCCATCGGTTCTAACGCTGTGCTTTCAGTTTAGGCGAATTTTTGTGTTCTACGATCCAAGGATGTCTTTTGACCTCAGCCAAGGAAATTCGCTCCGAACTTTTTTTCTTGATCAACTGTGAGAACAAATTTATAAATTAAAAATACAAAAATGTATAAACTAAAATTATTAGTATTTCGATATGGAGAGCACACGCAAATGTTACCTTGGATATAAGGTCTTTGGCCAGAGATTTAATCTGTTCCGGCCACTGTATATTTATCATTTTTATCTTCGCGTACGTTTCTTGCGAGGTACCACTTAAGAAAGGCGGCTGCCCCGTGAGAAACTCGTAGCAGAGAATCCCCAAGCACCAATGGTCAACATAGAAGTCGTACGTCTGTCCCATTATCATCTCCGGTGGCAAATAATCTAACGTCCCGCACAACGTGTCTCGCCTGAAAGAATGAATTTCAATTTGGCTTTAGAAATTTAAATTTCAAAGTAAAATTAAACTGGTTGAAATAGATCAATAAACGTGTTATAATTTCCTTGCTATTTGAAATAAAAAAAGTACGGATTGGGGCTTACTTTGAGGATGGCGCGTGTACAGACCATCCGAAGTCTGCGAGCTTTATATCTCCGTTATATGTAAGTAGCAAATTCTCGGGTTTTATATCTCTATGAATAACGTTATGTCTGTGACAATATTCCAAAGCGTCGGCCACTTGATAAGTATACTTGGCAGATCTGAAAAAACGAAATATTTCTGAATAACTTTTAAATATTATACACAACGATGGATGTGTTAGAATTACAAATACATACAAATGCTCGCTGAATCTCTCGTTTGGTTGACGTTTTAATTCCTTGTATAATTCACCTCTCGCAGCAAATTCTAATACCAGATAAATCCTTTTGTTATCATAAAAGTAGGTTAACATTTGAAGAATATGTGGATGCCTGGAAACATGTATGAGCAAGAGGATATTAACGTGAAGAAAATATTGACCATTTTTCGAGACATTTTTGGTATACATATATACCTTAAATGCGATTGTATTTCAATTTCTCGCATCACTTGTTTCTCCACGCGTCCTTTTATCAATTCAACTTTATACAGTGTCTTTAGGGCAACCATGTACTGAGTAGTCTTCTCCCTGGCTAGATATACACGGCCAAATTTTCCTCTCCCCAATGGTGCTCCGATTTCAAAATCCTCCAAGCTCCACTGGTAACTATTTAATATTAACAAGTTCATTTTAAGTCCATTTTATAGAATTTCATGAATAAAATTTATTTATGGAATTTATATTTTAAATAAAATGGTAAAGTAAATGGCAACATAATTGAACAATACTATTAATTTAGTATGAAATATTTAATACTCAAAAATTGTAGTCAATGTTGACGTTATTAAAAACTTAATCTACATAAATTTCACAAACTACAATATTTAATATTATTTATATGCAATTATGTTTATACTTTCTGCCCCTGTTGTTAACGTGCTCCATCATATTACGTATCGTGGTTTGAATAGTTCCTTTAAATTCGGCAGGCATGTTCGATGGCAAATATTTAAACATATGGTCCATTTATGAACAGAGTGTCTATATAATATCTATAACACTGAAAAAAAATGCAATACATGATATATATAAACTACTTTATCTCTAATTAATTATAAAAAATATCTGTTATGAATGTAATAGGAAAATTGTTGACAAATATATGTCAAATCTTTATAAGATTTGTTATATAAATAACAACAATCATAAAAATACAAAGATGATAGGATTTCTAAATGCTTGTATAATAAAATAGACCATAAATTACTTTATTTGAGAGTAAACGTAGAGTAGCATTTTCATTTAATATATTTCTGAAGTTATGGAAAAAATTTATTATACATATCTTAAGAAGTAAAAATATCAATTGTTAATGCAAAAGAATTATTGAAATAGATGAATAGATTTTGTAACAACAGTTCATTATCATTATAGTAGTTATGTTTACATCATTACATTTAATCCGCAATCTATGCTCCATGTTTGACTTAAACATAAATTTCTAATTTTAACAGCGACGATGTAAACAAATAAATTGTTTACTCGTCGCTGTTAAACATCGTGTTTAGGTAAATTTTAAGTTAAATATAAGATATCGCCAGCCAAAAGCACGTGTACTTGCGGCCAGTCGGTTGCACAAGTATTAATACCTACATGGAAAAAAAGCTGTGCAACAACGTTATAACGATAACGAAATGTCGAGTTACAAAATCTCAGCTGCAAGTTCTCTCGCAGGCATTTTTATTATTATCAGTATTTAATGCCATCCAAAGTTCTTCACGGAGAATTCTTAATATTATTATTTACTCACGTTAAATATAAATATACAAACGTCGATACACAGTCTCCAAGTATGACAAGGCTAGTCCAAGACTCCGAGTATTGGGAGATGTCAAAAAAGGCACATTCAACTTAATTTAAGTGAGAATTTCAATAACATCAATTGTCACGACAGTCACGTTACTAATCGGTCTCGGCAGAGAGAAGCTTCTCTCTTGTCTCGGTAACAGCCGTTTCCCTCGCATTTGAATTTTCGACGGAGACCTCTCTCGGAACAGCCGCGAACTACGTGTTCGTAATTCTTTTCGTTATACCGATTACACCCGAAGTACGAATGTCAGAAAAATCGAGAGAAAAACTTCGCCAATTTGATAACAATTGTGTTGTGTATATTGAAAATACGTGTTCCAAAATTCACCGAAAATAAGTTTCAATTGCAGCCCCAAAACTCATTGCAAAAGTCTACTCCACTTTTCAGTCGTGTTACAATTAAAACTTATCGAAAAGGGACGTTTTAAGTTTTTCCGCGCAAAATTGAACTTTGCATTGCGCGCGTGCCGTTAAAATAAATCACTCTTTTTGTTATGTATAAATGATGAGCATTGGCAATGAGATTTAGTCTCGTAAGATGTTTTATTTCCTCGCCATTTTCATTTTGTTAAACGATTTCTTATGAGCAGCAACAAATATATATCTTGATAAGAAATTTATAAAGTTCTGTAGTAACTAAAATTCATAGAAATAAACTGGATTATACTTATGCCATATTTATTTGAAAATTACCGCTATTATCTAAAATGATACATTTAATTATTCCAGCATATATTTTGAAATTAAAATCGACCGTCCTTAATATCGTCAGAATATCGTATAAATGTTGATGTTTCCTTCGCGACTAGCGCATACTTCTTCTCCCTTCTACACGAGATAATAATCATTAGGCGTATTATTTTCTAACAATAAAGTTTCTATATAGACTTTTAAATATATCGTTATGTTGGACAAAAAATTCAATCGCTATATGTATACTTTATTTCTTAGTAAAATGTATACTAAACACTAGCATCAGCTGGTTATACACATTCAAGTATTACAACTAAAATCTATAACTTATTATGTTATCCGTATGCGTAAACGTACAAGTAAATACGAACCAGAAATTTAAAGATATATACAAGCAAATAAATTAACGTACGTTTCATATTAAAAAAAAAAAGAAACATAAGAATTTATATCGTCGCAATTATATAACGTTTTTATAATTACAAATTATACAAATTTCGTTTGCGCGTGCGGTATTACGCTCTATTCAACTACAAAAGTGACAAAAAGAAAAATTAACGATATACATCTCAACATACAGATATATATATATATAAATACAAGAGTGTAACAAGAAAGATAAACATTTTTATAATGTATACAGTAAAGTATATAAAACATATATATATAATCCTGTCTAATATAAATTCCGTGATCGATTGACGCGTAACAATCAGTAGATAAACCAAACATCAGCATCATCATCATTATGGTGTTCGCGCAAAATAAATCATGGGCATTTTCCAGCTTTTTTTTTTCGACTTCACATTCGACTCGTATTGCTCCAACAAACTTAAACGACAGCGTGTACAATGCCTTCCTAAAGATACGTATATGGAAGCGTTAGACGTTATTAAACTGTACAGAAAATAATCAGGTAAATGTCGATGCGCGACGCACACTTAGCGGTCTCTCGTTATTTACAGGCGTGCCTGCCTCACAAGCAATTGCAGAAAAAAAAAACGGTTTGCAGCACATCAACGTCGTTTAGACCCTGTGTGTAAGCAGCACGCAAGCGAAACGCGAAATGTAAATTACGTTAACGGCTGCAAATTAGATAGATTATTTATGCGGGCAAAACATTGCGGAACATCGTAATTAAAATCGTCGCTTCGTTCTCGCGTCAGAGCTGTACAAGAATTCCCGGGCGTATTGTAGGTCTCTGGCTTCCACCTCGTTTCTTCCGGAAAGCAGCGCACACTTGGGTGTGAGAGTTTGAAATTTTTATTATTACGTGCGTGTCTTCCACATTTCTCTTTCTGCTTTTTTTTCTCTCTTTTTTTTTCCAAATAAGTATACATACGCTTACGCTAAGTGCATGTTCCGTTTTAATCGCGTGCATGCAGATAATTCCTTTCTAATTCCTAGTTAACAGCGGAATTGTATCATGTGTCACTGAAATATCGTATCAATATATATATATATATTATTTATATATGCTCTTATATATAAAATGCGAAGATTCTTAATGCGACCGATTGTTAAATCAATTTCCGAGCATCCGCTTTAATTGTGGATGTCTATACGCTTGGGCGTGTGCACCTCGCAGCTCTTATGACAATAATGTATTCGAAACTTTTGCAACATTAACATTAATGTTTCTACATTTCTCGTTAAGGTGAAACAAGGTTTGAGGTTTTGCGAGTATCGTTAAAAATTACCGATTGCACCGATCACAAATCGATTGTACTGCAGAAAAAACGAGCTGCGGTAACATCGAGCATGATGTGAAAAGAAACGTAGAAAGATCGGTATAGACACTCAAATTCTGATAACGCAATCGTTTTACGGTATTCCAACTGTAAATGCACTTCGCGATCGTGTTCCCTATCAGCTTACTTCTCTCTCTCTCTCTTTTTTCTCTGTAAGAGTATGCTTAACCGTAGGCGATAAGTACTAATTAGATTAGATACAACGCTACCTTATTGCGGGAAAACATTGTGTAATGGATTATGTCGACGTGTGTCTCTTTTTAGCTCGATATCGGGAAGGAATAATGTATGGTGTTACGCTAATAGTATCGCTCGACCTAAAGCTGTAAACCTATAACAAAGTAGCAGCCGTATTTCCAAATCAGACGAATTTGCCAGACAGAAGAGGCCGGAGGGAGGAAGGGGGGGGGGGAGAACAAAGAGAAAAAATCGTGAACTGTACCAATTGGACGTATTCTACACTCGTTACCTTAATACTTTGGCAGTGCAAGAGTGACAAATGACGGTCGTATTTGATCGTAATTTCCACGCCGTAAAATATCGTAGAAAAAAAAAAAAATTACGAGGAAAAAGCAGAAATCGTATCGACAGTCATATTTTAAAGAAAACGAAGGAAAGTTTTTGTTACACATTCAATAAATATGGGAGATTATATACACGGAAACAATATACAAAGACCTGCTTCTCTTGCTCTATTAAACGAGAGAGGAAAATATAATTGAGAAACGTGTGTTGCAAAATTATCTGGTGGCGGGAAACAAATAAAAAAAATTTATCGATCCAGTGTGCTGTTTGTAGTTTGTTATTTAGGCTTTTAAACCTAAAGTCTATAATATAATTATGGTTAATTCTTAGTAAGAGTATCGAAATTTTGTTTTTTTTTTTTCTTGAAGAAAACGAGACGCACAAAGTACACAAGGTAAGCAAAATAAAGACTCTCCAAGCTGTTATTTTACAACAAAAACCAGGATATTCTCAGTATAACATTTGCTGATGTATTGCTGATGTATCCGATCATATATTTCATTAATAAAAAAAAAAATAATCACGAGGATTACGACGTTCGAAATATACGTCTCTCACATTCTTGCATACCGTGATTCTCCACGATTTTATGGATACTCTTAATGTTGATTTAAACAAGATAAAATATAACAAATAAATTGCCAAAAGCGCATTACATCCGGATTTATAAAAAAAAAAAAAACGAAACTACTTTTATAGTTCCCAAGTTGAAAGTAGAGCGTGGCTCAATAACGAATACGCATGGTCTGGGAATAATGATAATATCGTTGCGAGAAAATAATATAAGTGGGGAGCTGATCAGCGTAGATCTGGATTATCGTTAATTTGCTTTTTTATACGTAACAATACTGTCGTATACCACTGATCCAATCTTGAAATTGAATCGTACTCCTTCACCGCTTCTGTGTAACCCTCTAGATTCTGATCCTCCAAATGCTCTATCAACGTCTACAGATGCACAATATACAAATTATCAAACGGTAAAAAAAAGAGAAGAGGGAGTCGTTAGGCGACAATGGTAATTTATCGTGGAAACGTACCTTGACCAGTTTGTATTCTCTAGCGTCCTGGAAAGCGGGGTACTGTTCCTGATAACGCTCGATCGCGTGTTGGGCGTTTAACGAGTCCACGCACAGGTGGCACAGCGCGGCGCGGAAGAAGTATTCCTTGGCGCTGTATTTTAGTAGAGAACTTTCTAATGCCGCGGAAGCGACCTGTAAGGCAAATTGACGAAAGTGATCAAACATTCGCGAATCAATCAATTAATAAATATTTACAACTCCGCCTTGTCTGTAACCATCTATTGCCGCGCGCGGGCGCGCGACAGGATGTCTCTCTCTCTCGGTCTTTACCTGCTCGTAGATCTGAATGGCTTTGTCGTAATTCTCAAGCTGCGCGGCGTACTGCGCGACCTTCAGAAGACACTTGTTCGCGGAGGAGTTGCTCTCCTCGCCGCGGAAGTAGTCCGCGGCCTGCTCGTAATGATGCACCGCGCGCTCCAGGTCGACCGCCTCGCTCTCGTAGATCTCGGCTATGCTCTGATGATGCTTGGCCGCCATCGTGAAACGGCCCATGTCGGTGTAGATCTCGATGGCCTTCAGCAAGCAGCTAATCGCCTCTGCAAGGACGGAAAGAGCGGGAACATATTAATCACGGTTCGGTGTAGTTTTTTTAATCGCCATGGGGATTCTCCATGATTTCCAATAGATCTAGACTCAGGCTCGACAAGTTACCGTTCGTGTCGGACTTCTTGAAGCAATTGGCCGCGTCGACGTAATTGTTCGCCGCGTCGTGACGACTGCCGGCCTTCGCGTGTAAATCGGCCGCGTCGTAAAACGCCTTCCCCGCCGAGCTCCACTTCTTTGCCATCTTGAACATGTTCGCCGCCCGTGTGTAACATTCCACCGCCTCCTCGACCTTCGACGAGCTCCTGCAAAGTCGAACATCGCCCTGTCAAAGTCGACGACACTGACGGACTTTGTTATCGTGTTTTTAACGACGCAATATCGGCGCTATCGAAACTGATCGAAACGCGACTCGTCGATAAGGGGAAATATTGCGCGAGGACGTCGCGGAATTTCAAAACACCGCTCGCGGACGGTCTTCGCGGCGCGATGAACTCCAATTATCGCGCGTCGACGGATCGCCGATATCGTCCACAGATGTCACGTATTGACGTGCGTCCACACGCTCGGGGTGGTCGTTCGACGCGACGTAGAAAGCCGAGCGCGCGATATACGCGCGGGCGATCGTCGCCGCGGCGGGGACGCGGAGTCGGGGCGACCCGCGGGAACGAGGCACTCGCGGGCGACGCAGGATCGCGCGCAGGGGGGTACCGCGCGCGAGAAGAGGTTCTCACGCGCTCTCCGATCGGGCGAGTTCATGGTCGGGGCAGGATCGATCGTCTCTCTCTCACCCGAACAGGGCGCCGAAGAAGCCCTTCGACGACGACAGCTTCCTCCCGGCCTCCGCCACCAGTAGCGTCGCCTTCTGCTCGTTGTCGGCCATTCTCGACGACGGTCTCGAGTCCGAGTTGCCTTTTATCCCTTCACCCGTATGGCGAGAACCCTCTCTCAGGCGTCCCGATTCATCGACTGCAACTCAATAGATTTCACCTGATCTCACCGCCGCGGTCTCCCGTCCCTCGCCTCGCTCCGCGCGACGTCCCTAGACGCCCCGTCAACCCCGTGAGTCACGGCTGTCGTGTCAGGCGTGCCAACCTTTCGCGCCTAGACCTCTCAAGGTGATTTTGTCCAACATTCAAAAGCCGCCTCCGGTGATCGAAAATTGGAGCACGACCAATCGGAAGCGTGGAAAAACGGAGCGGCGGGGAGCTCTGATTGGTCAAATCGTACATTTAAATCCGCCAATCTCAGCGCGCAGGCAGTGGCTTTTAATTTCAGATATTCACTTGGAGCTTATAAATTTTAGGCATTTTATATTATAATTATGTGTAATTATATATAATTACATAAGACACTACATTAATTATATTAAATTGAATTAAATTAAATTAACTTGTATTAGTCCCTTCTCGACTATATAATTATGTAAAGCTGAAGAAATAAATTCTATTCTGTTCTGAATTAATTTACATTAAATTACATTACATTAATTTACATTGACTTAAATTAAGTTGGCGCTTTCCGATCTTCATTGTTTGTAAATTAATTAAATTTACGATCTTAAACTTGAGTTTCAGGTGATCTTTAATTTCATTTGACCAAATAATCGTATAGCATCCAAATCTAGAGACAGCCTTAATTAGACATAAAATCGAATTACGTCAGCTTTAGAAACACATTTTTCGCCTTGAGAACTTTTGTATTGGACGTCACTGGTGCGGCGCGATCGCGCCGGCCGCACTGCAGTTGACTGATCGCGCTTCAAGTTGCACGCGCGTACGAACGCGAATACTTCTCCTCTCCGTTTTCCGCTTTGACTTTACGTTGAATTGACGTTCGTGTCGACCGTCGGACGATGTCCTTTCTGTACAGGCAGGAGATAAGATCGCTGCGGGACGGCATACCGAACACCTTCGTAATCGGCGTGATTATAAGTAGCTCGAACGTGAGAACGTTCGACGCCACTCAAACCAGGTGTATGTATATGCCTTCCGTCTTTTTTTTTTACTTTGTCTTATTTATTCTATTCTCGCGTTTCGATCCGATGGATCGATGATGGCTATAATTGATACAGAAATCCGGAAACAAACGGATTAATTTGCAGAAACGGAACTCTTTTTTTACGGAACAGCTTTCTAAATATTATACGTATAATAGAGATGACAAAATGCATTGCGCCATCTTGTCGATTGTTTACAATTTTCGCGTCGAAAACGCATACATTTCCTATTAAACGCGTCGCTTAGATTTGTGAATCTGACGAACAATTCGATTGAATTGCCTTTTTATATTAAATTTTTACATTAAACGCGTCGCTTAGATTTGTGAATCTAACGGACAATTCGGTTGAATTGCCTTTACGTTAAATTTTTCATCTTTCAATTTCGCACCGAAATGAAAAGCAGGCTGAGATTCTTTTCCCCTTATCCCATTGATATATATGTTTGCAGTTAGCCATGGCGAACGTAGCGTGTACACATTCACTTTGCGCGACTCCGAGGAAGACTTTATTAACGTCACCGTATGGGGCAGCTCGGAATACATAAAGAAATTGTCGTCCACGTTTAACATCGGATCCGTAGGTGAATATATTTTACAAATCGAATAGCCCCAAAATTACAAAGAGCCAGTTAAATGTATCAGTCTGCAATTAATATATCTATTATTTATTGATTAGGCATCGTTAGTGGGCAATTATGAATATTTAATCATGCATTTAATTATATTATTTAAAACGTTATATTAATGTACATTGTACGGTTTGCCCTTGTTTTGTATATTTAATACATATATATTCTCTCTATGATTTAAATATTTAACACAAATTATTTTCACTCTCGGTCTATATACAGATTTTAATTAGTCGATTTTCGCGAGTAAAGCCTATAAACAAATTCAGTGCACACATATTTAAAGATTTTTGGCAAGTCTTGATAACAGCCTCCGTTTTACAGTGGAAGTGATAAGCGCGAAGATCGTGAAACGCAATCCCAACGACAGGAACGAGCAATTCGTGCCGGCGACCTCCAGCCCTTTCGCCCTGATCGTCAACGAGGGCGCGGCCCTCATACAGAATCACGACGCGCCAACTTGCGAACAGTACAAGAATCTGCTGACGCGACCTGTGAAAAGCGTGACCTCCGCGAAGAGCCTGAAACTGATCCTGGACAATATAGACGCTCTGTGCGATCGATTCGTCGACCTTCTGGTCGTCGTTACGTTTGTAAGTTGCACCGAATATATAATTAACGCGCCGAATCCGCAATTACGCGCTTCTTGCGGCTAAAGGAAAATAGATAATTTATTTAATTTAGAGAAATCAGAGAAAAAAATTGCAATCCGTGATCGTTTTTTTTTTTTTAAGAAATTTTCTTAAATAAAGTCAACACGGCGAAAACCTCTTCAATGAGACTTTCACTTTTATGCTCGTGAATATCAACTTGTAATAATCGATTAAACCCTGCCGCAGATCGCCGACGCGCGTCATATAATGACACGGGACGGACGAGCCTTAACGTGTCGCAGTTTCGAAGTCGCGGATGGATCGACGGATAGCACCGTGTCGTTGATGCTGTGGGACAAGGATTGGATCGAGAGGTCCGCCTTTTGGGAACCGAAGAAAACGACGCTATTCTTAATTAACGCTCGCATCGCATACGATGAGTATAAAAAGAAAACGGCGTTAAGCATCTGTACGTATTAAATATCTGATATCGATTTTTAGAATGATATTGAAATCATTTTTTTTAATATAAAAAATGTCGCCGATCGATAAAATCTGATAAATGACTTTAAAAACCTGCGGATATAAGATTCAACGTAACTTTTAAATATTAATTCAAAAGAGCTTTCTAAAAAAAAATTCTTTATCGCTTGAAATGGCAAAAATAATGAAAATCCTTTCGCTTCATTATTAAATAATTCTTTATTAAATAATTTTGGCTATTTTAAAATTAATGCCTCGAGCGCTTATAAAAATTCTTCCATTTCAGAATATAAAATATAGGTCTCTTTTTTTAAAAGCAACAGTTTATGAAATTTATGATATATTTTTTACAAATTTTAATTTTTTAATTTCAATGCTTTGCGCGCTAAATAATGGAAAGAATTGTTATTATACATTTGCAACGTGTCATTTCTATTATACGCAGCAAGGCGAACATTGATCACGGAGTGTCGGAATATACCCCAAGCTGCAGAAATGACGAAAGCGATACAGCATTACGATCCTGACTCGATGTGCACCGATCCGTTCGCCATACCAAATCGTAAGAACAACAAATGAGCGTTTTATGCCAAAATTAACGTAAAGATAATTTTATATATATATATTTTTAATGTTTACTTATCGCTTTTACGATGCTAAAGATCTGAGATTTCGATTTTTAAAATAATATTAATTATTAAAATCTGTTTTTTTGTAAAAAATGTCGCCGCCGCGATGGGTAAAATCTGGTAAAAGACTATGAAAATCTGTGAATAAAAACGTAACTTCAAATATTTGAAAGAACTTTCTAAAAAATCTTAAAACATTTTTTATTGCTTGAAATGACAAAAATAATAAAAATCATTTTGCTTTATTATATGTTTGTTAAATTATAATTTTAACTACTTTTAAAATTAATGTGTTTCGATCGAGCGCTTCTAAAAATTCTTCCATTTCAGAATATAAAAATAGTTCTCTTTTTTAAATAGTTTGAATAATGGTCCACGAAATTTATGATACATACGTTTACAAAATTCAATTTTTCGAGCATTTATTACTATTAAATATTTTCTAGCTATTTGTCACTTACGATTCCCTTAAAGAATATGTTTCAAATAGTAAACGCATATAATAATGACCGCAAAAATAGATATCTTTCTCTTTCTCGACCTGTATTTTGTAGAGATAAAATTTGGCGTAATTATTCTTCGTGCGTGTAATGTAAATTTTATTAATTGTTATTGTTATTAATTTCTGTGCTAACAGCGGACACTATCACGACTGTAATGACGGTGCAGCAAATCACGGAGAAATTACAGAAGAAAGCGACTACGGAGGACGAAAGATTGCAATTCGCAACGATCGTGAGAGCTTCGATTACCGAAATGAATCTAGACGGTCCACTTAAGGACATGATAATTACAAAATGGTAATTTCTTTATTTATATCACATTTATATATCCAATTAAATAATCAATTATTGTGTTGTCATATTATTTTACTTTTACTTTCAGTGCCCTATGTAAAAAGATTGTCGAAAACGTACAAGATTCGTGTATGAACTTAAATTGTCCGTCGGGCAACGGGATGCGGACACCGTTAAACACCATAAAGTTTAACGTAAAAATAAATTTGAAAGACGATACCGGGTATCTTATCGGATGTCGCTTGACCGGTGACATCGCGGAGCGAGTTTTGGGCTGCACAGTTGACGAATTTCAGGTACTCCATATTTAAATTGCAATCAAACAATTCTGTTTTCAGTTAATTGTATTTACAAGAAATGTAAAAATTCGTAAAAAAATTCTCTATTGGTTGAAATGGCAAAAATAATAAATATAATTTTGCTTCAAGTACTATATATGTTTGTTAAATATAAGTCTAACTTAGTTTTAAAATTAATTTCAACAAGCTTACAAAATATATAATTATCGCAGGCAATGACGGTAGAGAAACGCAGCGAATTAAAGTGGCTGTATCTATTAGAAAAATGCGACGTTCGCCTGCACATTCTCGGACCGACGTCTATCTTCCAGCGCGCCTTGTATAACGTGTTATCTATTGAACGGGATAAGGAAATGGAGCAAGCTCTGGACCAAATTGCATCTGTGCCTGAGTATTAAGAATATTAATATCTCGAATTTGATATAATTTGACATTCTAAATTGTCACAGCAATTATTATAATAATTACCAGAAGCAATTAAACCTTTCATTTTACGGGCGTAAAAATATCGTAAAAATATACAAAATATACGTTCATTATTCATTAGTTTAATATTTATTTGGAAATCTTTCAAGTTCAATATTTATGTGATTTATAAATTTTTAATTTAATACTTAATTATATATATATATATATATATATATATATATGTAAAATTTAAATTGCGTTAATTAAAATTTCTATTTAAAATTATTATGTCAATTAGTATGTAATTAAAATTAATCTGTCCTTCTAATTTTTTATTTTCCATAATTACTCTCATATTTCCCTCTGAAGTGCAGAAAGTGCGCGAGGGTCAAGTAATTAGGTGTAACAAATTATCTCTACTCTTGGGGACTGTACATTTGCAGTCCGAGAATTCGCCGATATTACTGAAGAAAACGCCCTTCGTTCGAGATGAGAAATTAGTTTCCGTCGAATTTTCTCCGCACATTTTTCTCTTCTCTTTTCCTTCTCCTGACAAGATCGTCCGAGATCGTCCTCTCGATCGATTTTTTGTCGCAGCTGTTCTTCGTGAACTGGTATTAAACGGAGCAGCAGATCTATAGCGCAATCTGGCGCGCCTTTAGGAGCGCGCGGCGACGCCGGCGACGCCGACGCCAACGGCGGTCGGTAAATATTTGAATGTGACAACTGACATCGTCCGCTCCTCGAGAGAGACGCGCACAACGTACGTATATGTATGCACCTCGCTGTGTTGTTGCCGGGCCGACCTTCGTCGTGTGGTTTTTCGTTCAGGACCGGCGTCGGACCGGCGTGGTGCGGAAACGACGACACGTGGGGCCGCTTAATATCCCGACGACGCGAGACGTCGCTCGAGCGTATTTCACGTAGTATATCTTTCACGAGACAGAACGCCTTCGATGCCTTCGTCGCAAGACAAAAATCGCACGTTGGAAGTTCTGCAGAAGACTCACGATGAGCTGCAGCGCTATTACACCCTGCTGCGACTGATCCGGGCCGATCTCGAGAGAGTAGTGAAAAATTTCGCCGACGTAAACGGTGGGTAATGCCAAGCGGTGCCCTTCGAGATACACTTTTAGAAGCTAACTTAACCCACCTGCAAAGTCAAGTTTTGAGAAAAGAGGACTTCTCGCTGTGAATGAAGTGATTTTTTTTTGTAAGCTGTAGTAATACCGATTCTTCAAAGGATTCTGCACTTTCTACATCAATCCTCGCGCTGATATTATAACAAAGTGACTCTTTAGAACTCTGAAAATGAAACGCAGCTCTTAGATCAGTAGAAACCACTCGTCTAATGATTTCTGTTTCATCTGAGATCTTTAGAAGAAGTAAAAATAACTGTCGTTTATCTGAGACTGTTCATGTTGTACAGCAATTACAGCTCTTTTCCTGATAAACAAATTCATTGGAATAACCAGAATTCATAAATCTGATAATATTCTTCCATTGACTGATTTGAGGTGAATTTATTGATTACCTTAAGATTCTTCAAGAGAATATTTATACTTAACGAGGACTGTGTTTATCCTGCATTGATACAATAACAGAGTGACTCTTTAAAACGCTGAAAATGAAATGCAATCCTCTTAGATCGGTAGAAACTACTCGTTTAATAATTCCTGTTTCATCTGAGATCTTTTTTAGAAGTCAAAATAATTCGCTTATCTGCTATTGTTCATGTCGTACAATAATTACAGCTCTTTTCCTAAACAAATTCATCGGAATAACCAGAATTCATAAATCTGATAATATTCTTCCATTGACTGATTTGAGGTGAATTTATTGATTATCTTAAAATTCTTTAAGAGAATATTTACTTGACAATGACTATGTTTACATCGTATGTTCCACCATACCCTATGTTTAAATTTATGAATTTGACTCAAACGCAATAGATAAATTGTTTACATTATCATGACGGTCATATTTAGAATGAATATAGACAGACTAAACATAATGGTATAAACATAGTCAATAACTTGATTCTTAAAACGTTTAGATTAAGTTTCACTTATCACTGATAGCGTGTGATATAATTTGCCATGATTTATACTATTTTGTAACCACAACTTTCATAGAAAATGACTGTTCAGAAAGGTATGCAATATAATCATATAAGTGATTTACTTACGTCACTGAAAATTTGTTATGCTAATTGAAACGATGTCATGCTAATTGATGCTCGCTTGTTTCAGAAGCGTAAGGCTTAATTTAAGGATAAGCACGCGCGTACCGTAGCAGTATATAAACGAGAAGGAAGTTGAAAATCTTTCACGGATAAAATGGAGGCCCGTAAATCTCTGACGCACAAGAGGCTGGAGGCTATACAAAATTCACCGACCTCTTCGACGCCGTTGCGAAGGAAGTCCATTGTTCAGACCCCGCCGACGGGTAGTACCCTTTCGGAAAATGACGACGAGGCGGAGCGTCTCGCTCGTCGGCGTGAAATACTCACGTCGACGTCACCGTCCAACGGCAGTAACAGCAAGAGGCTCTCCCTGGGCCTGGGACTCTTGGCGAATATCCCGGCGCCCCAGATGGCCGAGAGCATAAATCAGTGCATAAAACTGAGCGCCGAGAACAAGATCAACATCAAGAATGCATTCAGTCTGGAAATGATTGATTTTATGACGTACATGATAAAGAAGCAGGATGCGAATATGTCGAATCTGCAAGTGGCCAGCGCGTCCTTGGACGTGAGCACCAAGATCTACGGGTATCGCGTGGACAGCGTGCATATGGAGATACTCAAGATGGTCGGTGGACTGGACAAACAGGTGACGGAAAATGCGGACCAAAGCGCGGAGGAGCAGGGTGAAGGTGCTACGCACGAAGACGCGGAGGCGAATGTCGAGGCGCAGAAGAAGAAGAAGAGGAAGAAGGCGAAGCAGAGGATCTTCAGCACGGTGGAGTCTCTGAGGGGCAACGTCGAGATCGCGAAACCCATGTCGTCGATGATAGGCGAGGGTGATTTGCAGACCAGCGACATGCTGTACCAGGCGACGCTGCCGAATCACGCGAATTCCGGCTTCTATCAGCATCTGTATAACGACGTCCTCGTCGACGTCTTGGAGAACGCCGAATCGCGAGGTAATCCGAATGTCAAGTACGCCATGCCGGCGATCGAGGACTTCTCGAACTTGGACAACTGCGCGTCGTACTCGAACTTCGAGTTCCTCGGCTGGTCGGTGGATGACGAGCCGGAGGAGATGCCGGAGGAGGAGACCGAGTCTAACGACAGTGGCAATCGATTCCAATTCGACTTGGACGCGAGCGTGGAGCACGACGACGATCCGGCGCCCGAGCCCATGAATTACTTCGACATCGAGCACGATAACGACAACAACCACGAGAACAACGTTCAGGTTGCCGTGTGCCATCGGAGACCGTCGGCGGATCGTTCAGAGGTGAATGTCGTCGATGTGCGCGACGCCGCCGCCCGGCAGTCCGAGTATTCCTTCGTCCAACCGAACATGAGCTTGCATTGGGCCGGTCCGTCCCATTGGAAGTTTTGGAACTTCGCCAGATCCTCCGCCGCCACCGAGGCGAGTGGCGCCCAGGTAGCGGCTTGCATGCAGGCTAAGCAGCGAAGGAAGAGGAAGGACTTCGAATTTCTGTACGACCAGGCGCGCGATGTCATAGACGCGAAGTTCGCGTCGAGCCAGTCCATCAAGTTGCACGCCAAGACGGCGAAGGCGGAATGGAGCACCGAGAGCCTGACGTTGCCGGAGGACGTGCACTACGACATCGCGCAGATAAACAAGCTCTACCTGTACCACAAGGTGAAGCTGGTGAACAGCGGTGAGAGGGAGGACGACGAGAACGCGGTGACCGCCGCGGACGTGTCCGACGGCGAGAGATATGACTACAACAATCCAAACGACACACTGGAATACTGCCCCAATGTTGAGCACGATGACGATTACGACGATTACGGGAGTAGGGACGACGGTAACGACGAGTGCAACTTCGACGACAGCGCCGCTGTGCTGAGCCAGGGTCTCACCGGCGACAACCTCGTCGCCGCGCCGAAGCTGGTCAACAAGGTGTCCATCGCGTACTGCTTGAAGGCGAAGAAGATCGACATGCGACAGCTGAAGAAGTCCATATGGAGCTGCCTGAAGTCCACGAACAATAACAACGCGGCGAGTACCGGCGGCGAGACGGCCGCGGACGACGCCGACACGATGAGGGAGGGGAAGCAGTTCAGCGACGTTTACAAGATGCTGCCGAAACTGCTGACGAAAACGAACGCCGAGGCGTTGAGCGTGCCGATCTCCTTTATATCCCTGCTGCATCTGGCGAACGAGAAGGGATTGCAGATTCATTCGGTGCCGGACATGTCGGATATTATCATCGAGCCCGGAGAATCGGTATCGTTGACCTGAAGAGACTTTGTTTTTGTACGTACACATTTTATTCAAGCAAACATAAGACGTTGACAGGGCGTCATATTCTTCGTAAGGAATTGTTGAAACGTTTTACGAATAACAATAATAATAATAATTGATATTTTTTTCAAAATTGAAAATATTTTTTTTAGAATTGAAAATAGATTGTATATTGTAATAAAAATTGTAAGTTTATCTACTTTCATGACATGTGTTTATACGATATAATACACATAATTATTAATTACATTACGATACACTTGAAAAAAAATTTATAAACAGAATGTAATCACTGTTTTAATCATTGCGTCGATATCGATCGATAAACGAAAGGTTCACAATGAGTAACGACTTTTTTTTAATGAAAACTCGGTAATTTAACGAATCTCTAATTCTGTGTCAAATGATTACGACAGAATACTTTTGATAAATGTGACATTTGTCTGACCGCTTGAAATTCGTACGTGTACATTCCACGTCACCCGAAGATGCTCGCCGTCCCATCATCACGTTCGCGTTGACGATCAATGTGCCAGATCAATGTGCCAGAATCAAATTATACAAATTATAAACGAATAACGATGCTATGAGATGAATGAAAAGTTATTGTTAAAAAAACTAATAATATTTTTGAAATAAGAGCTTGTATTTAATACCATACATATCGTACGATATACGTACGCGTATATTTTTGTCATACAAAGAATAAAGTATCTTTTTATATATTAACTCGAATCAACGCGTTTTTTCACTTTTTATTACTCGCTCTAATTGTATATTACAACTAGGAGTATCAATTTGTCTCTGTACGTAAACCGTAAAGGATAAAGTATCTTTTTATATTAATCAACGCGTTTTTTCACTTTTATCACTTGCTTTAATTAACTGTATATTACAGGAGTATCAATTTGTCTCTTTACTTTACGCACAAGCTTCACATGCGTGCCGCGTATCGCAGATCACTTTTGTTTGTCTCGCGGTTATCCATCGGGAGTCGCACGACTATCCCCCCCCCCCTCCTCCGGGTAATGTTCTTGTTTTGATTGTATTCTGCAAAATTCGTGAGAAATGTTATAAATCGTACCGCGTTTTCCGTATCCACACAAAAAAAACCGTTGAAATTATTTAGTTATGACCGCGCTGTCGAGATCGTTTCTCGATTTGTCACGGCGATGCGGACGTCATCCCGTCTTCTCGCGTCGCGGATCTTCGAAAATCCCTCCGATCGACGACCGGAAGGACGTCCAGAGGGTCGAGAAGAGGAGTGTGGAAGAATCGACGGGGAGAAAGAAAGATAGTAAGGCACAAAGGGACAGCAGGGCCAGCGTAAAGGTGTGCATAATCGGCGGCGGAGTGACGCCTCTTTACACCGCGGTACTTTTGAAGCAATACGGGATCGTCAAGAGCATATGCCTGGTGGACACGCGGGGCACCACGTCGGAGGCTTTGACGGACGTGTCGCACCTGGAGACCACTCCTCGTATACGTTGCTTCCAGAAGAAGGATATAAAACAGGCTCTCAAAGAAGTAAGAATTTCGAGAAATACCGATAGCGTATAGAAAATCTTCTCTTGTGGATCTGTTGAAATAAAATTAATTGAAAGGGGAGAGATATCAGGATTTAATTTAGTAATCTAGAAATTTCACTCGATTAATAATAATTTTTTAAATGTATAAATATATATATAATATATATAATATAAAACAGACAAAAATTAATATATAAAAAAGCAGTTTTATAATACACGATCTAAAAGAATTATTCAATTATAATATATTTATTATATTACAAATTTTGTAATTTTACATATATATATATATTTATATATATACATTTAAATTTTAGGAAATTGTTGCATAAATATTTAGAAAAAAACACATGTCTGAATATGCTCCGATACATCTGCAAATTCAGACATTTCTGTTCCCGTATATATAAACATTTTATCGCGTATCATACAAGGGAAATATGCACAGACTTTTAAATACCAGAAAAAGTATATAGGTATGTGTGTTGGCGTGTGTGTGCATGTGTATTCCGATCTGTGCATAAATTCACAATTAAGGTATTAACTCTTTGTATACACATATGGGCTGCGTTCGAAGAGCGTGCTATAAATGCTATTGTGTCATTCTATCCTTGTTTTAATACGACTTTATGTTTACGGTAGAGAATGTCACAATAGCGCTAATAGTGGCCGGTAGCGATCGATTCCTGGAATGCATTTTCATGACGCATAGCATCATTATAATGCCTGACGCGTGAATTTAAACGCGTACACAATGAAAATGTATGTACGTGTGCTCCGATATGATTCAAGTTTTAAAACATTACGATTCCGTGTACATAACATAAAAAAAAAATTTTTTTAAATACTTAGGCGAACATCGTCGCGCTCATGGACGAGACGGACGTCACCGCGGTGGGCAACACGGCGGTCCAGGAGCAATTCAAGTTGACGGCCGACTACGTGCGTCAGATGACAGATCGGATCCTGCGCTTCTGCCCGGACGCCCTCGTGGCCGTGTTCGCGCGCCCCGTCACCGCCACGCTCGCGATGGTCTCGGAGATCTTCCGCTGCGCGGGCTGGTGGAATCCCGACCGGATCGTCGGCTCGACGGCGACGTACGGCGGGCAGATCGAGGATATGACGGCGGCGATCCTCAACCTGGAGCGCGCGAGCGTCTCGGTGCCGCTGGCCGGCGGCGCCGACTCGTCAACCGTCGTGCCGCTATTGTCGCGCGCCGTCCCGTTCAACCAATTCACGAACGTACGCACGAGCTATACCTAGTCGTTGAAATTTCAATTTCAAATCTCGGTCCTTGTAGTGTAGAGCCTCCTCAAGTAAGAGCTCAAGGTAGAACGTAGAATCAAATGATGTCACGATGACGTCAATTCTTACATTATCTGACTTATAAGTGAAACAAAGGCTGTGAGTTCCGTAAAGCGCATGACGTATTATTTCATTCTTGTTTAACATTCGATAAACAACATAAAATGATATATCATGCGCTTTACGAAACTCAGCTAAAGTCATAACGTTTCTTATGATATCATTTATAACTTCATAATAATATCATTGTGACTTCTACTGTGTTCTATCTGGGAGTTTAAGTACCGTCCGTGTATTTTCAGATTAATTATGTGTTTTCTTAAAACGTTCATTTATTTATATCCGTGCAATCTGTTAAAAAAAAATGAGTTTAATTCAATAATTTATGTGTATAAATATTATTTCTGTAATAATATTTTGTCCTTTGAAAAAAAGTGATTTAAAAAATTCTCTCTAGATAAAGAAATTTATTAAGGCGCAGTAATTTTCTTCTGTTTTAGTTTTGATAAAAAAAATCTGTTGCGTTAACTAAATAAAATAATCATATATTCATTTGTAGAAAAAAAATTAAAATTCTAATATAATTTTCTAAAAATCGAGATCTTCATTGCACGGATATTGATCGAGTAGAGAAATTAAATCAATACGTATCGTATCTCTCCTGTAAAGATCTTGATATTCTTAATATAATCTACAATCTACATATATTTTCATTCATTAATTATAATTTCAGTTAACGATATTTATACAGTTGCGATTGTACGATATCGCTTGGGCGATAATTAAATTTATATTATCTGTACATTCTCTCTCTCTCTCTCTCTCTCTGAATAACAATACTGTTAATATTATTCAGGTGCAACGCAAGACCTTGCTGCAATCGTTTCGGGCCGGCAACGAGAAGGCAAGGACGGCGTTCGACGAGGGCCCGTCGTTATCGTCCGGAACGGCCGCGGCGAAGCTGATAGTCAACCTCGCCGCCGGTCTATCTGGGCACGAGCGCGTCGTCACCTGCGCCTACGTGCGCTCGGACGTGCTGCCGGTCTGCCGGTTCTTCACCAACGAGCTGGAGCTGGGCCCGGAGGGCGTCAGGCGGAACCTGGGCCTGCCGAAGATCTCGGCCGCGGAGGTGCTCCTGATCGAGCAGGCGATACCTTTGATTAACGAGCACGTCGACATGGCGGTCGCGACGGTCCGGACGGAGAAGATGCGCATGCGGTGACGCGATGACTTCTGGACTGTAACAATATATATCTATCCCGATTTCCCCGGGAAATCTCGCAGAATTAATGAGAACTTGCGCGAGTATTTATTGCGAATTTATTCACCCTCGCGTGATGCGTTTCGTCTCGTATATAAATTGATACTCCGTTGTAAAGATCCGCTCCGTTGTAAAGATATGTAAATAAAGTGTAAATTTATGTCGCTTATACATATATTGCGGCGAACGACTCGAGAAAGGCTCGTAGTGATGTAATCGTCGCGACCGTGAGAGAAGGTCAAGAGCGAAAGATGTGTTTGGATGCCTTGTGTCGCTGAGGTGCTTAAAGTCGATCTTAACGAGGTTTTTTAAAGAGGATTTAAAGACGATTGAAAGAGGATTTAAAGAGGTGCTTGCAGGTGAGTCTGAATCTCTCCAGGATATAATTCAGATGCAATTCTCTCCTTTTAGGGCTTTCATTCTCTGGGCGCGGCGATCTTTCTATGACCCTTTCTATGCGTGCGAGTTCCGTTTCCTTTATGATACGCATATGATATATCATCTTATCCTTTTTACTCGCTAAATGTTAAACAAGGATAAAATGATACATCATGCGCATGAAACGAAACGCGAAGTCAATTTATAAATAAGTTAATTTAAATTATTTATTATAATTTTTTATTAATTTACATTGACTTAATTTAATTTAAATTAATTTAAGTCAATGTAAATTAATATAATATAATTTAATGTAAACCAATTCAGAATAGAATGGAATTTATTTCTTCAGTTTTACATAATTAATCAAGAAGGGACTAATATAAATTAATTTAATTCAATTTTAACATAATTAGTGTCTTATCAATCCCCCCGGAAATTCGACGCGTTCCGAAACTTAATATCGCGGGCGGAGGTGTATGATGACAACCCCTCTCTGTGTAATAACATTTCCGCGTGCAGATGTGTATCGCGCACGTGCGACAGCTGGCTCACTGCACATGCATTGTGGTCTTTTGTTTTGACCCGTGTCGATAGGCACGGGCGAGCACGAGACTACGAGTCCGGTCGCGATTCGGCGAAATATATTTCCAGGCGAATATAAGTACATACGTTCCGCCAGGTCCCCCGGCCCGGTTCGTTGACATCGCCGGGGACGCCGGGTTGATCGCGGTTCGTCCAAATTCATCGCAGTCGTACATGCGTGGTTGTGCGCCGTGCGCGTTTTATCTACCCTTCTCCGCGGTGGTCGGTGACGGCGGCGCGCGGGTATTTAGCCTGGCGAGCGGGCCAGCTGGGTTCGCGGCGGAGTCAGTCAGTGAGTCAGTCAGTCGTCGCGTCGTCGTTCGCTCGCTCGCACGCGTACCGTTAAACCGAGGAACCGAGAGACGGCAGGGGCATCTCTATTCCTTTCACGCACGGCGGAAGGGAAACCAAGTGCGATAATAATTATTGCCTGCGAGAATCGGGCGATACATACATAACTGCCCATTGTTCGAGGCGTGCTCGGCGAGCGATGATCCCGTGAGGGGGGAGGAAAAAAAGCAATTGCTCTCCCCCTGAAGAATACTTTTTCTCCGGGCAGAATTCAGTAGTCCTCGGAATACAGTCGACTACGCGGGGACCCGCGGAATCGCAACCATGTGGAAACCCTTCGAGGCTGGCAGCTCGCCCGTGGACTGGTGCGAGCGCAACTACAACATATCGCCCAGCATCGCCGAGTTTATGAACACGGTTCGTATATACATATTGCGTGGTATTGCGCCGTTTGTTTACACGGTCGTGCAAATGCGCGGCCCTCTCTCTCTCTCCTTCCCTCGATCAATTTGGTAAACGGTTCTATCCTTCCCTCCCCTTCCTGCCCCGACTCTCCCCCTTAGACGAGAAAGTTCAGGTATACCGATATATGGCTCTCTCGAATCACCGAGAATCGCGATTCGATGAAATTACAATTGTATGCTCGATCCGGAAATGTGAGGGTCGCTTTCCCAGGGACTGAGGAATAAGCGAACAGTAAAATCTTACTTGTTATACCTTTCCAAATTAGTTCCGAAGATATTTAATGTTCATTATATTGATCCAAGCGGTGACTGGTTTCCAGTTTTTTTTTTGCTGAGACAGTTTTTTGCGTGAGGTAGATTCCACATTTGTCAAAAAATTTATAGTTCAAAATTCCATAAAAACGGAGAGTAAACTTGTGACAGCTAATTTCCAGTTTTTGCATAAGACTTTCGCGTGATTCCACGTTTGTCGATAAACTTATAGGTCAAATTTTTTGATAGAAATAAAAAATACTCGCGCGTGTAGAACTGGTCTTTCCAGTTCTTTTAGCACGAGAAAGACAATTTTCTGTTACGACAGATAGGTTTTTTTTTTTTGCAGGTAGATCTCATCTTTGTCAATAAACTTGTATGTCAAAGTGCCATAAAAATAAAAGAATAATCTTGTAATAACAGTTTATCATATCAGTAACCAGCTTTTTGCATGTGACACATCCTAGTTTGACAGACACTTTGTTTTCTACACAAGGCAGAATTTGCAAAATGTTCAATAATTCATAGGTAAAAGTGCCATAAATCACGAGATAACTCTCGTGTGAGTGGATAAGAAAATCTAGGTATAAGCAAGATAAAGGATATACAAACTGTCATTCATGCGTACAGTTATTGCATCACTATTATTTCGTAATTTGGAATAATATCTATTTTGGACAAAGAAGTTCAAAATAGATATTAATCCTGATGTGTCAGATAGTTATTGAGAATTGCGATTCGATTTATAATTAAGAGTTATAATTAAGGATTACGAAACGAGGACTTTTTCCTCAAGAGAGTGAAAGGTACACAAGTGAACAATAAAACTCATAATATTCCGGTACTTTCTAAACTGTAATCACAAAGATACTTAACGTCGAAAGTTGTATCGACGTAGGTACATATACATAAGCGATTTCCAGTCTTCTTTTTGTCGGGACAGGTAATTTCCTTGCTCGAGGTGGATTCTAAATACGTCGCGGAATTCATAGGTCAAAGTTCCACAGATCCGAGACAAAAAGCTTGTCATGTGACCGTGAATAAAGGAATAGTTTTATACTCGTAAACAAAGAGACAAAGGCTGCGCTAGGAAGATAACAAGATAAAAATATGTTTGTACACAAAGAGCAGAAGAAAAATATAATCAATTTGTATCTTGATTCGTAAACATCACTTGATTCTTATCTCAAATAAATCTGATATACGATAAGTCTTTCATCTTCTCTGATTCATTCAGGAATTTTATCGCGCTACTATATACGCAATTAAGTTGTTTGTGTTGAAAACACAAGTTTTATCTCTAATAATTTAAATCGCATATTTCAGAATAATCAAGTGTGATATTACGCTTCTGTTGAATGTAGTTTCAATAAACACAAATATCACAAGCATATTTCTTTTTTTCGCACAGAATCGTTAAATCACGATTGATTGCATTGGGCAGGCAAATACAATACAAATATAGAAAGAGAGCCAATATATAATTTTTCATTGTTTAATATACTCATATTGATTTTGTTTAATATACTCATATACTATTCTTATTTTTTTAGTTGAGTAATGTGGTCTTCGTGTTGCTACCACCCGTGCTCATGCACCTATTTAGAGATTACGCACGCTTTGTAAACCCAGGAATTAATGTGGTCTGGTTCTTACTGATGGTAGTCGGACTTTCTAGTGCGTACTTTCATGCCACTCTGTCTCTGATAGGTGAGAAATGTATCAATATATATACTATACTAGAATAATTTACAAATGTCTCTAAAAATGTATATATCCAAAAATATCCGCCGAATTATGTGCTTAATTGGCGACTGATATTTACGTTGCTTTATAGCTAATCTTGTGCGTATATATATGCGATAGGTCAGCTATTAGATGAATTGTCTATTTTGTGGATGTATATGGCAGGCTTCTGTATGTTCTTTCCCAGAAGATATTTCCCCAATGTCGTACATAATGACAGAAAGCTCTTCTCTATATGCGCAACGTTGCCCACTCTAATCGCCACCGGCTTGGCCTTGATACATCCGGCCGTAAATGCTTTCGCATTGATGAGCCTGGGTGTACCGGCGGTCATATTATTGATCATGGAGCTGAAGAGGTAATTTCATCGTACGGAAACATCCAATGTTAGAAAGTACAAATCAGACGTAGAGAGTACAGATTTAGAGAAAGAAATCATTGATTAACGTGTAAACGGAGACGATAGGGATGACATTCTCGATGTAGAAGTCGCGCGCGTGGGAATGCACACATTTTTTGTTTGTTAATGCCTTAAAAATATTTGAAGGACTACCTCGATAAGAGTGTACAGACTGGGTTTGCGATGCGGCTTCATGTGGTTACTGGCGGTGACCTGTTGGTTGAACGACCGTCTGTTCTGCGACACCTGGCTGAATCTCAACTTCCCGTATCTCCACGCGCTCTGGCATCTGTTCATCTTCATCGCGGGTTACACCGCGACGGTGCTCTTCGCGTATTTCGCCGTGCAGGACGAGAAGCCGCAGCAGTCGCCGGTGCTCAGGTACTGGCCCAGGGACGACTTTGAACTCGGCATACCGTATGTGACTATTCGTAGTTACGTGAGCTCAGGCTACAACTTGAATATATAGCTCTCGCAATAAGATCCGCGCGATCCGTCAACGCCGTATTATGTAAATGTATTATTTATTTGCGGCGGTATTTACCTAGTATTCGGATTTTACGCAATATTCAGCATTTAAATTAAATGCGCAGATGTGTATGTGATGCCCCCGTGATTTATGTAAACATTAATTGTATTATATCTTACGACACGTTTTATTTTAAAGACTCAAAGATTACAAAGTCATAAAAAAGAATTAAATTTTGTATTTCTAAGAAAATGAAGACAAAAAATGACGTAAAGAAATTTCTATGTAGCTGGCACATTGAGAGTACTTAAGATTTAGCAGTAATTTCCAGAAATCACCAAATTAACATATGCAATGAGTGCTTTGAGACATTCTAATTTATACTAATTTATACCTATACGTCTTATTTATTTAATATACGAGATGATGGAAGATATCAATGACTAATAAGCGAACATGTCCCGTAGTAACCTAACATTTCTACCTGAGACAATTAGCTCCCCCTCCCCCTCTCCTAGTGATATTAAAGTGTTTTCTCATAAAAATTTGGAACAGATCTTACAAAGAGAGGATATGCAGCTTTATAACAAACTGTTACTTGTTATAAACAATGGTAATAAGTTCTGTACATAATTGAAAGCAGTGTACGTAAAACGAACGAAATGATTAATTTCTCACGCGAGTATAGAGATTACAAAATCGCAGATATTTATGATTACATATGTACATTAGCGAATTAGAAATTATTTATGGAATGGATTATTACATTGTGATATGTACTATTGTTAACTTTTTTACAAAGGACTATTTTGTAAATGTACTCGAATACGAATCGTTACCGAGAATCATAACGCATGCCGCGTGTATTTTATATTTTACGTACCGGAAATGGAGCATAGCATAAAGATGTAAGCGTAAACATACGTAATTAATAGTGTCCTATTAGTTAATTCTAATTAGAGTAAAAGCTCAAGATTCTAACAACCGTTTTAGATGTGGGATTACCTATACATGTGTGTGTGCAATAAGGAAAACCTATTACGGGTGAAGCATTTAATTTTTTGCCATACTGTAGATTGTAACTACAATTGACTGCTACTACAACTACTCTGGTTTGACGAAACTGAAATGGCGAAACTGGAATGTTAAATTTTCTATATTACCTATATAGTACATAATTTTTACATATATATATATATTATTTTCGATTGTTTTAATGTAATTATACAATCGTGTAACTGTATTATAAAAATGTAATAAAAAACACGAAACAAATATCAAAGATATAAACAAGTCTATACTATTAAATGATCTAATTAAGAAACAGAGGAAACATTTCAATCGTATTCCCCCCTAAAACACATAACATTCTTATCAGTTTCGTGGACCTTGACTTCGTACAACAATTCGGGGTTGTTGTGTGAGAAGGACATTTGCTCCTTTAGCTCCTCGAATATGTAAATCGCGACATTTTCGGTTGTCGAGACCGTTTCTTTGAAGTAGTCCACTTGTTTATCTATATTCTTATGATCCATTTGATCCAGCACCTTCTGCATGCAATCCTTTAAGGCCTCCAAGTTCATAACCATCCCCGTTCGTGGGTCTACAGGTCCGCGAACGGTTACTTCCACTGAAAATGAACTTAATTTTAGCTCGATTTCATTTTAGTACGATTTGTGTAATCGTCAAGAAATTTAACATTAAAAAATTCGAAAGTTATAACGAATTCGAAAACAGTGACGTCCATCTCTCAAGCAAGAGCTTCTTCTTTCTCTTGCAGTCTCTTTTAAATTTATGTACTAAACAATTCTAAATTAGACCTATTAAACTTCTAAGCTTCTAGCTTTCGTTAAGAAGAAAAGAAAATAAATTCGATTAAAAAATGTCACTCTACTTCTTTTTTCTAACACAGTTATGTCTGCTGTAAAATAACTACAATAAGCTGACAATGCAAATTACCGGTGTAATTGTGACCATGACCCCACTTATTGTTACATTTTCCAAAGACTTGTTTATTTTCTTGCTCGCTCAGCGACAGGCTAAAATTAAAATTTTTTTATCAGTCAGTATAGCGTTTTGAACAGTTTTCCACGAATTCTTCAGTGAATTGATTTTTTTTCTTAAAAAAATAGCTTAATATATATTTTTATGTATAGATGTATAATTTTTTTCTTACATAAAACAAGAACAGTTTTTAAATTTCAACAATAGAAAAGAGTAGAAAGCGAAATTTTTCTCTCATCAGTTTACAAAACAAACTAAAACATAACGTGTACCGATGTTCGAAAACCGATTAGCTTCTAATCAGCTTCTAAACGATTGAAAAACGTCGAATTTTTCCCGAGAATGACTTCCTAGGACTTTCTAAGAAGAAGTTTTTGGCAGGGTTTCAAGCTATTTAAATTTTAAGATTTGTAATTTTTTCAAACATCGAATATTTCGGGAAATCGAATGCTCGCGACGAACAAGGTGCGTTCTCTTCCTTTGAGGATGATTTCTCATCCTAATCGTGGGATCTATAAGTGTTCGTTAGATCAAAGATTCATTCATCAGCTCGAGCTCGCACCTGTTCAAGCGATGGCAGCAAGATATCTGTGCCTTCCGCGTCAAGTAAGCGATCGGTCTTATCTCGCGACGTGAATCCATTCTCCAACGGGAACACGCGAACGCAGAGCTCGGAGATATCTTGTGAATGATGAAAAAAAGACGTTCCTTCCGGTGGATACGCGGCGATGACTAATCAAGACTCGCTGCAACAGTTGGAAATCAACGTGATCGTTAAAATAATCATAAACCTCTTCGGACAATTATCTACTATTTTCCTAATAAAAAACACAGTATAATGATGAATTAAAAATCTATTCCAGATAGTCAAACCTCTGTGGAAAACAGCAGTTTCCACAAAATGTTGGCTACAAATTTTGTCGGCGGAATGCCAATAAAAATACAACGGAATCTTGCCAGCAGAATATAATGACAAATTACTGCGGAAACCGAGCAGAATCTGCTATTTTCGCTACGATTTAAATGTCAAATTAAAAAATAACACATGATTTTTTAATTAAATGTTCCCAGTATTTTATGATTTTATAAGATATATATATATTTTTTTTCATATCAATATTTTAATGGAATCTTGTTAGCAGAATATAATAGCAAACCGAGCAGAATCTGCTATTTTTGTTACGATTTAAATTAAAAAATTCATAACAACTTGATTCAAATTAAAAATTTTATAACACGGTTTTTTAATTAAATGTTCCCAGTATTTTACAAGATATATATATTTTTTAAATAAAAAATCATAGAATCCTCGAAACTTTTAATTACTCCTACATTAAGCGTCAAACACTAAATGTAAGGCTTATAATGTATTAAATCGGTACTACCGAGGTTTTCATAATATCGATATTGACATTATTTAAAGTATTGCTTGTACGGAGAGGTGAAACCGCGACGAAAAATTTTATTTATGTCCCTCGATGACGCCTTGTCAGTATAATAGAGTTCTCGAAATGCTTCTTCAAATCTTTATTATTATCGATCGAACGTTATTTACAAATGGCTCTTTGATGTTGACTTAACGTTCCATTTTAAAAGCAAACATATTTCTTTCGCGGACACGTGGTCGTCTTCGTCTATTTTTACCACAATCGCTGCGCAGATCGATCGTGAGATCACGCGCGTCTTTTTAATGGTTGTAATAGATTTTTCCTATTGCCGAAAGCGTGGACGGTCCTATAAAGGATTGTTACAAGAATCTAGACTACGGACGATGGAGAAAGAAAAATGTAAGTACTTAGATCCATTGTATAATATACGAACAGATTGTCTAGTTGCAAAATTTTCCGTTGAAAACGGAGAATCTAATTTAAGCTTTTGGCATTCGAAACGATCAAATCATCCCCGTGAAATGAGCAATATCGCCTCCTTACGTTCGTTTTCAGGGAATAGCACAGATATTGACTAATATAAAAAATTTGGAGCCTAGATATGCAAGGGGTGACAATTTTATGGATAGGTAAAAATATTAAAAACGAGTATTTAGTCTTAAGCCTACAATCTACAATGTGTTTTTTGCTTTTTATCACTTTTTACCACCCCTTTGCCTTTTTGCCTCTTATCCCGATCCTTCATTTTAGCCCGGCATAAAAGTTGACGAACTTCGGAAGAGACAAACACGTGACAAGAAACACGATTGTCGATAAAACGGTCGCAAAGAGGGGAAAAGGCAAGAGGTAAAAAGGAAGAAACAGCAAAGAGCATATTGTAGATTAGACTTTAATACGAAAGATACGGCAAAAAAACGCATCCCCCCGCAAGAGGGACACAAGTTGAAATTTGTCAAATCTCGTATCACTTTTCCTACCTAATTTGAAGGCCAATGTATTTAGAAGCACGTACGAAAAAAAAAGTTGATTTGTGTTACTTCACTTGCGGAGATACAAGCTATAAATAAGAGCAAAAGTCGCGAAGTATCCATCTACGTTTTTGTTTCGTTTTTAATAGCATTTTACATTTGTAGACTCGAGAATACGTTAATGATATTAAACAGCGATAAGTATCTACGCGAAGATGTTTGTAATCACATAGATGTACCTACAGCAATTGTGAAATATACACTGTTAAATCTATAGTGTCAAATTTAACCCTATTTAAGTCGCCACTGCTCCTACTTAATATATAGTTATTTTTAACTAAAACTGTATAGTTATTCCTAAATAAAACGATGAAATTTAATCCAATTTAGGCTTACATTTGAACAGTTTTGAATTATTTAACTCCACTATTTTAGTTAAAAATAATTATTTATTAAGTAGAAGCAGTGGTGACTTAAATAATGTTAAATTTGACACTATATTAAATTTAACAGTGTAAACTTGTCGTACCTCTTGTAAAGATTTTATTCTACACTAGCTGTAAGCTGTAAAAATTGATCAGTCGTAGTCGAAGTGTGAGAATAATCGACGATATGACGGGTCAATTTTTATGGCTTACGGCTATTGCAGAGAGTAGACTAATGTCTTACATGTACTTTATCTTTTCGTTTTCTCTTCTTTCTTCTAATTGTCGCGAATTGTCGGACGTAATGTCGGACGAAATGGATACACATGCCACATGCGTTCGCGAGCTTGTTGAATCCTCAGCATTCATTCGAGAGCAATTCTTGACGAGAACCCGTAAGCCGAAAGGCGTCATCAAGCTCACGGAGAAGAACCTCCCGAATCTGTTTCGTAAATTGACGCAGTGCCTGATCGTCGGCAATTCCGTCATCGTGATATGCACCGCGAAGTCGTGCAACGTAACGCAGTACTGCGACATGTTCTCGTCGTCCGGGATACCGCCGGGCGTTATAAATCTGCTCTCGTGCGAGAACGTGAACCCTGAGCGAGTGCTACGACGCGACCGAGTTGGAAGAAATGTATTGTCAGTTCACCGTGAGCAAGCAGATAACTAGAATGTAGAGGCATTTTAATTAGGCATTTGACGTTCGTGACGAAGTTGATGTCGTGGATGCCGCTCGAGGTTACCGACACTCGCAACTCGGAGTGATGAAAAGATCCCCCCACGTTTCGACCACGTTTTGACATTACGATTTCTGCCACTCGCCAGTCGATTTTACAAAATAAAGATTCATGATTAAGCAACTAGTGGATACTTTCAATTGATGTAGAAAGAAAAAAAAATTATGCGTTGCGATTAATGGTTAAGCTGATGATTACGCAGGCTGTCACTTACGCTCCAATTTCACGTTGACATTTCGCATACGTTGTGAAAATTACTCTCTTCACGTTACGCGGATTTCCAATCCTCCACGACATTCGCAAATATTCGAAGCATTCAAAAAAATATATCGCACCTGTCAAACTGTGTCGAACTGTCAGCATTGAGTCATGACGCCATAACACGTTGCAACAGCAACACGTAAAAGTGTCTCACGTGGAAGTGCCGTGAACCTAACCTAACCTAATCCGCGCCAATCTGGAGTAATCTGGACAAATCACGGATTGAATTTCCGTCATGCAAAATGAATGATACACAATTGGTTAGAGAAAAAAGGAGAAAAATTTTCTCAGTGTCTTTCTGTTATAATTACAATATTTTATATATATATTATATATATATATATATATATACATATAATATGTATATATGTATTTATATATATATATATACATAAAATAATTGTAATTATATTATAATTTTACATATTACATATAATATTATATATTTAATGATACGTGTATCTCATTTTAAATGCAGAAAATACAGAAAATTCCAGCATCTGCGAGGAGCGGATCTAAAGCTCATCGACCAATCGCGGCCCGAGACGGCGACCCTGCGTCCTCCCGGGAGTTCTCGACTGCGATTGGCCAGTACTCGTTTAGTCGTTTGCCGCTCGAGTCGAGATAGGCCTTTATTTCTGTCATCACAACGATGGAAGCTCTCGCGGTTTGAGTTTACTCGGGATCCGCTCGCCCGCCGTTTCGCACCGTGTGCGCCGAGTGAATTCACGTCCGGGCCGGAGGACGTCGACCTTTCCCCTTTTCATCCCTCCTTTTTTTTCGCGCTGGATCCCGCTACCCCCTTCTCGCGCAAATCTTCCCCCCGGCTGTGTGATACGGAACGGTAAACACTCTCCGGAAAGAAAGCAACCTGGTCGCTTGGTGTCTCTCACACACACCGGTAACGCCCTGTGTAACACCCGCAGGTATTAGTCACTCGATGGAGCTGGCGATATGAGAGCTATCTGAGGGAGCGTGACAGATAAAGGAGAGAGAGAAAGAGAGAAAGATAATTATTCTTTTTGACGGAATAACGCGAAATCGAGATGGACAGCAAAGGGCGGAAGATCATCGTCTGCGACAATGGCACCGGGGTAAGGGCTCGCTCGTCTTCCTTGCGCGCGAGTCTCCTCCGCGGGGGGGCGGTCTCGCTACGCCGCGATTGAGGGTGCACGGCACCGCAGTCGGACACGTGCGCGCGTCTCCGAGGTATTCCCGGCACCGCAATGCAATTTTGGCAATGTTTGCAGTTCGTCAAGTGCGGATACGCCGGCGCGAACTTCCCGGCCCACATATTCCCGTCCATAGTGGGACGACCGATAATCCGGGCTGTCAACAAGATCGGCGACATCGACGTCAAGGTACGTAGTAACACGTTCGTGCTCGCTTCGTGGCATTCGCGCGAGCTTTTAATGCGTAAGGGACAACGTCGGGGCCAGCAGTAGCCGCATTTTTTTTTTGTCTCTTGACGCAAGTGCCCCTAGTAGTTTCGATGTTCGATTTCATCTTTCGACGTTTCATCATCGGCACTTCATTGTCAATCACATTGTTTAATTTTTCACTGATATATCTAAACGAACACTCGAATTTAAAGGCAAGAAAGGAAACAAGGGCTGTAGCGAGAGCCTCAGCGCGGTACGCAGTGCGTGCGAAATCCAATCCTTTTAATTATTAAGATTCTTCGTTACAATACTCGAACGTTTCGGCTCTAAATTTGAGCCATCTTCAGCAAATCAACAAAAATTGATGGTACTCTCCTTCCTCACTATTGAAATAATTACGACTGTCTTTTCACTAGAAGTTCCATTCGGTCGAAATATATATTTATTTGATTTTTATTAAACATTGTTCTACGATTCATTGTGACTCCTATTCTTTGCCACACACATATGGTGAGTTTTTACCAAGAAATTTGTTTGACACATGTACATTAAAAGTGTCATCAATTCTAGACCAAATTGACTACCTGAGGTTATTCGGCTTTCCAACCGATCATGAGTGACACTTAGAAGACTTGCCACGTGTGCTGAAAAAGGAGAGTACCATCAACTTATGTTATTATTGAAGATGGCTCAAATTTAGAGCCGAAATGTTTAAGCATTGTAATGAAGAATCTTAATAATTTAAAAGGATTGGACATTTCACGCGCACCAAGTATCACGTTGACTCTCGCTAGCTCTGGTTTCCTTTTTTGTTTAATTTCTCGCGAAAGAGTTAACGTGTATGTGAAGCTAATGATACTCCAGTTTTGTCTATGAATGTAAAGCGAATCTCGATTTCAACCGTAATCGATTTACGGAACTGTACAAAAGTATTCGTTTACAAAAATTTATGACAAGATTTGAGACGTGATTTTTTTTTTTTAATATTTAATGTTTTGTATATAAATAAAGTCCATGATTTTCTGAGCTTTTTAAATTGCTTGAGAACTGTTTAAGCAATACTTGAATGATTAATAAGAACAATTATATTTTCAGCAAGAATATTGCGTTCGTGTAAGTCCATTATATAGTATTACGTCGTGTGCCCTCCCTGCTCCCCTCTAGCGCTTAAGTCCGACTGAAAATAATCTATGTGCTTGTCCACTGATGTAAATAAAACGGTTTGAGAGGCTAATGACGTTTACTAACCAAAAGGGAAAATGTGTTTGAAATGTAAGATGAATATTACTCATAGCATTTTAATATTTAATCATTTTTTTTTTTACGAGTTTGTTAACAACGAGTTTCTTGGAGCTTGGAACATTAAGTGAATGATAGAATAGAATGTTTATTTCCTTCATAAAGTGAGTGATTTTATATTATACTTAATAAAACTATTCGTATGTATACGATTTTTCTTGCGAGAGGTTTTACAAATTTTTTACTGACGTAAACGTTGTCTGTTTTCATAAAGCAAGCGGATGGGTCTTTATTAATATATTTATCATAATAATGTCGTTTATCTGCAATTTTTTTTTATACTCGTGGATACTGACATACATGCTACACTCATCCTAATCATCTAATCATCTAATGTATTTGTGTGCTTACATTTGCTCTCGTAGGATGTGCTTAACATGCCTGTAAGTTTACTGTACCTTTTTGACGCTATTTACATTAATCACATTCATTACATCAGAGTTTTAATTTAATAAGGAGAAAGTTTTTTTTTTCGACTGCAGGTGTGGAAATAGTATGATATAATCCGGCAAAAACTTTTTTTCCAAAGCGCTTAGGTACACATTAGGTACACACATTTGGTTACTAATTTATTCTAGAATACTTTCCTGACATAAATTCCATGACCTGAGTCTCACACAGAAGTAACATATTATATTATAATTACCGTGAATTGTAACATTTTATGAAAATTAGATAATTCTCTATATATAGAAGAGTGATATCACATAAATATTTAATTTTGTAATTTTTCTTATCAAATCTGTTAAGGCAAAATCTTATGTACCAGGGAATTAATTTAATTAATTAAATTTAATTTTCTTTCTATTATATGTAAACACAGATTCGTTACACTATTTTTTGTGGCTATTTAGTTAGTCAGTGTTCAAATACTTAGAATTTTTTTTTAGTACAAAAATATGTTTATTATTATTATAAAATAGTAATAAATTTATAAAATGAAAATAGTATATCTTGGTGATACACGCAGAGTTTTGATAATTGTATATTATTGTCACAGGACCTAATGGTCGGCGATGAAGCGAGTAAACTTCGTTCTATGTTAGAGATAAGTTACCCAATGCAAAATGGGATTGTTAGGTATGTTTATATCTTGCATATCAAAATACACTTGTGTCTGACGTTGAATAATCGCAATGCAATTTAATGTTCGACAGAAACTGGGAGGACATGTGTCACGTGTGGGATTACACGTTCGGCAAGGAGAAAATGAATATCAATCCGAAAGAATGTAAAATTCTGTTAACCGAGCCACCGATGAATCCTATCACGAATAGGGAAAAGATGATAGAGGTAACGTTGCGCGATTCAGAGGGAGTTAAGTATAAAGGTACCTACTCATAAGCGCGTCATTTGACGCGCGCGTCACGCGTCATAATTTATAATAATCTTTCTTTGTCGGAAACAGTTATAATTTTTGGTCCTCACTAAGGCATGAACTTTTGAACACTGGCGACAAATGCGATGACGACAGTTGAATAAATTCAACTGTAAACGCATCAAACGCGACAGTGCTAGAAGTCACTATCCAGTCCAGAAATGATCAGTCCACAGACCTCGATTCGACGTTTCTAAACATTGATTCGATGTCTATAGACATCGAATCGACGTCTACGAACCGATTATTATTTGTGCCTTGAAGTATACTTCTAGTTATTTCTCAAATGACGCGTGACGTGCCTATGAGTAGGTACCTTTAAACCTACGTGAATTTTGAAAGCTCAATTTGCATTATTGTGTCAGGTGATGTTTGAGAAGTACGGTTTCGCTGGGACTTACATCGCGATCCAGGCGGTACTGACGTTATACGCTCAAGGACTGATCAGCGGCGTCGTTGTCGACTCCGGTGACGGTGTCACGCACATTTGTCCCGTATTCGAGGAGTACGCTCTGCCGCATCTGACCAGACGGTTGGACATAGCCGGGCGCGACATCACGATGTATCTAATTAAGTTGCTGCTGCTGCGCGGCTACGCGTTCAATCACTCGGCCGATTTCGAGACGGTGCGGATGTTGAAGGAGAAGCTGTGTTACATCGGTTACAATATAGAGACGGAAGAGAAGCTGGCCCTCGAAACCACTGTGTTGGTAGAGTCCTATACTGTAAGTAAAATATTGTATGTTATATATACACCGCGCGCGCGGTATAATATTTTATTAATATTTAAATTCAGATTGAGATGTACAAATTATTGCAAATATTTTCAGCTTCCGGACGGGCGGGTGATCAAGGTAGGCGGTGAGAGATTTGCGGCACCGGAAGCCCTCTTTCAGCCTCATTTGATTAACGTCGAGGCGCAGGGAATAGCCGAGCTGGTGTTTAGCACAATTCAAGCGGCTGATATCGATATCAGAAGCGAGCTGTACAAGCACATCGTTCTGAGCGGGGGTAGTACAATGTATCCGGGGCTTCCATCGAGGCTTGAACGAGAAATTAAGCAACTTTATCTTCAAAGAGTATTAAAGAATGATACCACTAAGTTGAATGTAAGTGCCGTACACATGCGTGATTAACAATACTAATATACATGACGCCAGGCGTTATGCTACGTAAATCTTTTTTTTTTTATAGAAATTTAAGATAAAAATTGAAGACTCACCTCGACGTAAGGACATGGTTTTCATGGGCGGTGCTGTATTAGCGGAAATAACGAAGGATCGAGACTCCGTGTGGATAACGCGGGAGGAGTACGAAGAGAAGGGTCTTAGTGTACTAAAGAAATTAGGCGCCTACGAATCATAAGGAAAGTCAATATAAATGTAGGCTACAAAATTTTTAACGGGCAATCAAGTGTTTTTTATACCTATAAAAAAAACGCTCTTGAGAGTTAGACTCGCGCAGCAGTTTTATGATTTGTTATATAATTGTAAACAGGGGTACTTTAAAACGAAGTACTTTAAAAAGACTTACTAGCTGTTTGATACTAAACTCTAGTAAACTAATGTATTCTTTGGTTGTAAACGTGATATAATTTCAAACGAGATACGACAAAGATAAAAAGAAGGTTTTTCGAACAAAAAGATGCAGTCGAGTATCATGGTATTCCGATAAAACATTGGAATGTGAACATTGAATATTTAATAAACTCGACGTTTTTGTTATACTTCAGATTGTATCCGATTAAAATATTTCGTCGATCAGGTATGAAACGATATTGCATTTAATATGTATTTATAGCTCTCAGGTAAATATTCAACATATCGATTAATTTTTATTGTTACTTACCGTGATACCTGATTAAAAAAAAAACTTCATTCCTTGTTTCCTTGTATTTGTCAAACTCTTCTCTAAAAAGTGTAAATACAATTGAAATTGTAAAAAAAAAAAAGATTTCGTTCGGTGTGAAACACTATCTGCCTTTCCATTACGGTAATTTGTAAAAAAAAACCACAAGCATAAAATCTCGACGTGATTTTAAATATTTAAAGTCTCCATTTCGTGTGCATACATGTTATGAAACGTGAATTATACGTAATGATAAGCGAAAAAAATAGCCATTAATCTGTTGTTGATTTAAAAAATGTTTGAAATTAAATAGTTGGATTTGTATATATGAAATGTTGAGATATTTACAACTTTTTCTTATTCTAAACAACAGCATAGAACTATAAAATGAAAACAGTGGTAAAATTTTAATTTAATGATTATACGTATATTGCAAAATATTTTATGGTACAATTTTTTAAATACTTCATTTTAACTTCTTCTCATATTATCGTACCTGTTTATGTGCTCATCGTTTGTGCGACACTTACATGCAAGTCTGCGATTTTTCAATTTCAGTCAATATATATATATATATGCTATCATTAATTATAATTTATATATAAGTATATATATAATTATTTTGTGCAACACATAAAAAAAGTCTTAAGATACAATGGATTTACGTTTAGATATTCTCTTGTGAAGCACATTGTACAGATACAAATTTTTTTTACAATTATTTTCTACTTTTATTACTTAAGTCATGTTATCACTTTCTGTAAGAAGAGATATTTTGCTCCTCCTTAAAGAATCATAAGTCATCTCACAGATCGGACATTATCCGGAATTTAACATTTTTAAAAGAGTTATACGTTCTCTAAGAACTAACATTTTTTGTTAAAATTACCTGGAAAAATATATAAATTAAGAAATGATTTGAAGGGGAGAATTTTGTACATTGTATATGTATATATATATATAGAATAACTCCTTAGGTTTCGTTGAATTGACAGAGAAATGAATTTTGTTTCGCGAAGAAATATACTTCCACGCTTCTTCGTTCCCGTGCTCTCTTATTGTACGAGATGAAGAGGTTGACGAATAGCATGATGTGGAAACGATATTGTTATTTTATAATAAATCTACAACAGTCTTTATTACGTTTTTTTTCCATGTGACCTTTATATCGCATAGCAATGTACACATTTTTTTTTTACGTACGAATAAAAATAACAGATATAATCTGATATCGTACAATTCAGCGTTTTTAATTAGACTGTAATGCGTAACAAGAGATAAATGTATATGTATCCAATTTTCGTTAAAGATTTGTACAATTGGATTCCAGCGACAGCGTAATTCTGTATAACAAATAACAGGCTGTTTATTCGAAGAGAGAAAAAGGATAGTCTGTTAAAACGGTGCTGCTGCAGCCACGCGTGCTTGATCGAAAGTTTGCTCATCCAAGTGTATAAAATTGCTATACACTCACTTTACATCACTTTACATAAATGGCTTTTAATATAACGTCTTCTCCCCCCTCCCCCCTTCGCATTTCGCAAGCTATATAAGTCGATTATCTTAAGCAAATAAAAAAAGGAAGAAAGGTAATATACAAAACGGTTTCACTTACGTTGTAATGGCCATTCTACAATTCCTACAGTATGTAACAATACAAACTTCTGTTTTTACAATAATCACGTGAAGACACTTCGAGATAGTGTAATAAGGAATTGGATGGAAAACATTGAAGTTTTTTTTCCCCCCCGCCCCTCTCTTTTCTCACGTCGGTTCACACATTCAGAATGTGATCGGCTTGTTCTTGCATTGATCGATACAAAAGTTCGTGAAACGCTTAAGGAACTTTGGATACTCCCTCTTGTAAACGGCCCGTAAAACGGACGCCGGGGCCCATCCACCTGGATTCACTGGAATTCAAATCAACATATTCATTTGCACGAAAGAGAAACAGGATATATACACATAATACTCTCATGTAATTAAACACCTTGATTAAGAAAGTAAAACTAGCGAATTTTTATATAGACATTTTAAATATAATTACAATTACTATTTATAATTTATTAGATTGATCCTAAAATGACGGAATTACCGACATTACAGGACATTCTCCTTGACGGTGTACAGAAAATTGAAAATTCTTTTTCCGGATTAAAGTAGACATAAAATAAAGGTGCGGAACGATCTTGAGCTTAAGAAAAACGGGGAAAAAATTAAAAATAAAGCTAAAATGAGCAGTCAATTCAGAGAATTCGAATTTCAGAATTACGGAATTTCCCAACCAGTAATTGTCGGTAATTCCGTCACCTTAGAATCCCCTTGAATCACCGAAAATCAGTTATACTCACCAACTGAACAGTACGTTATTTTACACGTAATGTTTTCCCTTTTTATCTCCTCCTCGTCCTTCGGGGGATCGATAAACGTTTGGCATACGAGGCAAACTGTCAGATAGACTCTCACGCATTTACCCGCGTTCGGCTGCAACAATAATTTCACTTAGCGACCTATTGAAACCTTAGCGCAAAACGTAGAAATTTTTGCGTATATAATACACATACTGGATGATCGGGATGTTCAGTGCTGTGATTGCAGACTATCCACAGATCGTGAGCGTCGCGATCCTGATCATCAGACACCCGGCGTATGTGCGACCAGAACAACGCGTCCCGCTGGCTCGCCGGCCAGATACGTTTGTGCGTTTGCAGAAATAACAGCGTGTCCTTGGAAATGTTCTCGACGATCGCCATGTCCTCCAGAGTGGCTTCCCAACCGCTTCTGTATTCGGGACTGAAGAATATCTCGCAGACCTCGTGACCGGTCACCCCCTTGACGACGTGACACGCCTTGAGAGGGTCCACGACCAGTCCGTCGGCCTCCTCCTCCCGTCGGTACATCCGCATATCACCATCCTCGGCGAACAGTTGCCAACCACCCGCACCGCCTACGCCGAGCCGAGCATAGTGCAGCTGTTCCATCGTAATTTTCTCGATCTGCAAATTGAAAATACGAAATGATCAGAAATTAGATACACAACAGACATATACATAATCAGCAATTATCCTTATATTTGGAATTATTAAAAGGAATTTATTTATGTTAACCTTTGGTTGTCTTGACAAAATGATTCCCGCATTTTTTATTTTGGGAAATGATTTTTTTTCAAAACTTACTTTCTTTTAAAAATTTTTTTCAATATGATACCAATTTTAAATTCTATACAATCAAATTATATTCTACAATGTTCGAAATCTATTTAAGAATTTTTGCGATCCAATTAAACTGTTGGTTTTTAAACGGCAGCCTTTTAAAAATTATTTTGATAAACTGACTCCAAATAATAAACGTGATTGAAAAAGATGTGACAACCGAAAATTAACATTCTATTGTCAAAATTAAATTATAAATATACGTCACAAATTACAATTTTTTAAATAATTATTAATATACACGTAAGTAAACTTTCAACAAAGAATTCCGAAAAATAAAAAAAAATGCAAAATGTAAAAGAGATATAATTACCTCAGGCCATAACCTGTGCGTTGACGCTGTTGTAGTGGGAGATGTTAAAATGGAGACAGATTTCTGTTTCAAACGATCCCTTATTTGATTCTCCTCCTCGATCTTGTCCAGACCCGTCTCGACGGCATCGTAAAATTCCTCATCGCAAAGAGCGCTATGCGGACCTTCCTTAAAAATAAAATGTTAAATATTAATAAAAAAAAGTACAATGTATGTTCATTACAATAGTTATAATGCATAATTAACTTTCTGGATCCTAATTTGTAATTTACTGTATACACTTGATACTGGATACACGTAACTATATACTGAATATGTAAAGAAATTCCATACATAATTAATTATTATCACTATTCTATGTAATATTAAGAACTCACATTGAAAAACTTTATCTTTAACTTCATTTTTTAATATTAAAAGTGATAAGTAAATGATACATCGATGTTTATATGAAGAATCAACACGTCTTTACTCTTCGGTGGTTTAGAGGATACTAAGCAGGTAAAAGATTTCCAAAGTAGTGACCTAATTCATAATTGCGAAATATAAACAGAAACGCATTTCTCTTACTTTCTAACACATATAGGCGGTACTTATGTCATCCATAGAGAAGTTCAATATGATGTCATAATAAAGAATTTTATTATATAAATAAGTAACCAGAAATCTTCATATGAAAACATTTGTGATAAAAAATATTAACAGTTCAAAAAATTTAAGAAAAAAACTAACAAGATTTTTGAAATTTTGTAAAAAAATTCCCTGAGAATTTAGATTTTTTAGCTACTGAGGATTTTTGAATATTCCATTTATCGTGACTTCGATTATTTTTATAAAAATTTGCGAAACATAAGAAAATGTACGTGAATACACGCGAGTGTATACATACTTATTGACTGTTAAAATTTATCAAGAAAAAATGATTAATATTTTCGGAAAGACAAAATTTTAATTTAAAAGTAAAATTCCAGAATTTTTCTTTAGAACAGGTAAAACTCCAGAAAAATCTCTGATTTTTAAGGATAAAACAGAAATTCCCTGAAAAATTTTCCAGGTTTTTTTCAGTGAAAACATCCTGAGTAATAATTGGTTTTTGTACACATATAATAAATACAGATAGGAATAAAGAAAATTCTAGTAAATTCTTATTGTAAAAAATATCAATACAAAATGATAATTTCTTAAAAATTGATAATTATATAAAAAATACAATTAAATGTAAACACATAATTAGTTTAATTCGTTTTTCTATCGACACTGATATATAAAACATTTATCGATTTCACATAAATCGTTCATGTTTTCTTTTTAGTTTCTACTTCTTTCAAAAGCTATTACAATGTCAGCGGTTACATAAGTGACAGTTATGTACGTGCTGTTGATGTATTACATAATATAGTGGACAAACAACTTGAGGAGATACATGATGTTCAAAATGAGTATCAATAATCATTGGATTCCACAACCGTATTATGAAAAAGTATTGTTTAATTCTCAAATTTTTTATTCTTAATTTTTAAATTTTCTTGTTTTTCATTCTATTATTTATTTTTTACTTTTATTCTATATTCTAAATAT